GGAACTCCATCCCCACCACCTGTTCCACAAACATCACCATCTCCTCCACCTGTTTCTCAACCACACCAAACTCCAGCAGCCTCTCCTCCTTCAGGTTTTGGCTTTGGTGCATTCAGTACAAGTCAAAATTCCTCCCAGTTTCAAACCATCAAGGAGGAACTAAGTAAGATATCCACATCCATTATGGACAGTATCTCCAAACTCTCAACCAAAGTGGATAATCTACAAACCCATGTGCTTTCATTGGAAGATAAACTTAATGCTCATATGGACTCCTCGAATCAGGCATTCAAAGCTAAAGTGAAGCAAAGTTACTAGACCATCCTTGATACAATCAAGGATGTTGCATTTGAGGAAACTGAAGTTGCTGCCACCTCTAAACCAACTGCCAAAACCCCTTAACCTACTTTCTACTGTGATTTATGAAACAGTGATGTTTTCTTTTGTTTTGTTTTATTTGGTTTGTTTCGGATAATTTCTGTTTTTTTTTTGGTTTCGGTTTGTACTACTTAAATTGGCTCAGTTTTTCTTTGAATTTGATGTCTTCATTTTGGTTGCATATGATATGTGCGCGCATGCTTAATTATTCCTGCGTTCAGATTTACTACTCCCTCCATAGTTTAGTACTATATATAGCATGCTCTTTCTATTATATTGATAATGCCAAAAGGGGGAAAAGGAGAATAAACTCAGAAATCCAGACTCACACCGATTCCATTCAAGTCTTCATCATTTAAGCAAAGGTATAAATTTCGCAATTTATTATTTTCATGAATGATGCAGACTTCTCTAAACTTAGTTTGTTTTATTGCTTTAATTATTTAATTGTTCTACTTAGTTATTGGTTACTATAAATGCCTGGATGTCTATTTTGTTTAACCGAGTTTGTTTTTGTTTGTCATCATCAAAAAGGGGGAATATTGTTGAATTGATTACCTTAATATTTTGATGATTGACATACATAAAACAAACTCTGACTAATGACGTGTGTAAGTCTTGGTTGAACAGAAGATTCAGGTACAAACCTAAATGTTCCGGAGTAGGAACAAAAGAGTTTGGAAGACTTGACGTTATTTGCAAGCTTTCAATATATCCTCACAAGCTCTAAATACTTAGTATATTATTGTACGTACTTGAGAAGCAAAAGTGGTGGAAGGAACTAATAAGAACCTCGAAGTTCCTGAAGGAACGTGAAGTTCCTGAAGGAACGTGAAGTTCCTGAAGGAACTCGACGTATGACTCGGAAACGATTTTTACGAGATATTTAAAACGGTTTTCAAAGTCCTTGATTTAAGGAAAAGATAAAATCAATTTGAAAAGTTTTGTTTTACAAATAAATAAAATCTAAATAATTCTTTAATTTAAAAGATAAGTTTATTTTAAATTAATTAATTGTTTAAATTTCTTTTTAATAAATAAATATTTATCTTTTTAATAAATATTCTTTTAAACTGATGTTGACTTGGTAAAAATTCAGTTTGCTTAAATTAAGGTATCACGTTGAACTTGGGAGACAAGTCAGTGAAACCATGTTTCTCAATTTCCTCAACATACATCCTAACTTCCCAGTTATGGTGAACGTGGGATTGAGGGGGAAGTGGGAACATGGTTGAGACTTAACCAATCTCCCTATAAAAAGCTATCAACGTTGTTGTTTTAAGGTGTGGAAAAACAACTTCAGTTTTCTGAGTGTAAAAAGTTTCTAAGTGTTTTAAAGCTGAGTTCCTTCCATCCTTGAGTTTCTTGAGTGCATTAGGGAAATCCTTGTAATTACTTTGTAATTGGGATTGGGGTTATGAGAGTTGTAAAGTGTGAGGCTTGAGAGAGTTCTTCATACTGTACAAGTGATTCGGAGTAGAATCACAAAGAGTGAGAAACTGCGATTGAGGGATCGTAGTTGGGTAACTTGAGTTTCTTACGGAAATTGAGTCTAGGCAGAATATTAGCGATTGTAATTCATCTTTACATAGTGAAATTATTCATTGCCTATCTCGAGTGTCTTCTCTCTTAGTAGATAATTTAATTCCGCAAAATTTTCTATAGTCTATAATTCACCCCCCCTCTTGTAGTAGACATTGTTCTATCAACAAGAGATGGAGAGCCAAGGTGGCAGCTGTTCAGGAATTCAAGGATTTTACTAAGTTCAACGTTGAGCAACTTGCGGGTTCCCTAATAACCCATGAGATTCAAAAGAACAACAGGACTCAAGAAACTATCAAGAGTCAAGGGCTAGCTTTTAAGAGCTGATGAAGAATCCGAGGAGAAGTCTGACATCGATAAAGAGGAAGCTGCCATGTTGGTGAGAAGGCTGAAGAAGTTCTACCGAAACAACAAGTTTACTGATAAGAAGAAAGCATACAGCAAGAGAAATCAAGACTCAAAAGATAAATCTTCTTATCACAAATGTGGTAGCACAAATCACTTCATCAAGGAGTGTCCTCTATGGGAATCTGAGAAAAGCAAAGGGAAAGAAATTGATCAAGGAAGAAATATAAAACCTAACTTTTCTAGATCAAATTTTAGAAAGCTATGATTTCCACTTGGGGAGACTCAAGTTCCGAAGAAGAGGAACAGGAACATACAGACGATGAAGTAGCCAATCTCAGTCTAATGGCGAAGCACGATGATGAGGTAAGCATTCAACCCAGTTATCTGAAATCACTATCAAAAGAAAAATTGATCTCTTTGTTACTAGAAACCTTAGATGACTACAAAGAATTATGTCAAAAGCTGAGGCAAGCCGAAAAGGCTACTGGAATATGTAAAGATCACGTCAAATATTTAAATACCTCAAGAAATGATGTTCAAGGTAGATTCTTTGAATTATTAGACAAAAATATCATGTTAAAGGAATCCCTTGAAAGAGTCAAAAGTGAAAACATTATGCTAAATGTTGAATTGACTCAATATAAAATGATATGCACTAACATTGATTCTTGCAGGTCCACTGAAGTTCCTTTAATTATGTTTAATACAGAGCTAGAACATATTAAAGAGGAATTAAAGGATACTAGTGTTAAGAATGAAAAATTAGAAAAGGACCTAGAAATAGCGAGAAGAAGTAGAAGGGTTGTTAGCATGGATGTTCCTAAGTGGGTTTAAGAAGCCCAGACAAAAAGAACAGAAGGTCTAGGATTTGTCCACAAAAAGAAATCCAGTACTAAGAAAAAGAAGTACGGGGATCTTCCTAGTGAGACCGTTTGTATGTTTTGTGGTAGAAAGGAACATCGTAGTGAAGGTTGTACTAAGAAAGTTAGTCAGTACAATAAAAATGTGAATTATGTTTGGCAGAAGAAATTAGATTCAAATATGTCAACACAGGAACCCATGAAAGAAGGGGTTCCTGCTACTAACCCTTAATTTCTTTTGCCAGTGCCGGGGCTAAAATTGCAAATTATTTACGGGGTCCTGTTCAACTTTTTAAAATGGGGCCTTCTACTCGATAAATTTAATACCCAATTTTTATTTGATAAAAAAATTCGTTACATCAGAAAATTCGTCAAAATTAAATTTTCCTGCTTAGCACTGTGCAAATGTGTTGTCTTTGCTTTTTATCTGTAGTGCATTCCATTAACAATATTTTGCTAATGTTATGCTTCTTGATTCAAAATGTGTTACGAAGTATTAAAGTTCTGTAGTATTAGCTCTAGCCCTTCACTTTTTTTTATTTGCTATGTTGTTATTATGTACTGTAGAATACTAGAATGTTATATTGGTTAGTAGAGACCTTTTTATATCTAGTCTTCAAGTCACTAATTTTCTCGGTAAAATGAAGTTCAATCAACAATTTATCAAATGGGTTTTCTATTTTAAGAGAGAGAGTGAAAACAGAAGAATCACAAAGAACTTGGCAATTTAATTAATTGGGATATTCTCTCTCATATAACAACAAACAAAAATCCCCATTTATACACAACGTACATTGCATTTCCTCATTTTCAATTCTACCCAGTTCGGTATTAACTTCAAATTCAACAATATTGCACTAAAAATTCCCCAGGAAAAAAAAATAAATAAAAACAATAAAATTAAACCTGTTAACCTGTTTTAAATTGCAGAAGCCTTCGTACACAGCAAGCGTCGAATCGAAAGTCTTCACCAATGACAAAACCGTTGAAATAATTTTGGGAGATGAAAAAATTTGAAAATTAATTGAATAATTGAAGAAAATGAAGATAATAATAGAAAGTAAATAAGAAAATATAGAGTTTTAGAAGATATAGAGTTTTTTGGAATTAGAATAGTAGATTGAAATTTTTTTGGGAAAAAAGAAATTTAAATTTTTGGGAAAAAAATTGGGTTTACTGGTTTATAATTGGGCGGAGGTTTCTAGAGGAGCTCCCAAAAAAATTAGAAAATTGTGACATGCATGTCTTGAACCCAAGACCTTGTATACACAATACAATTGCTCTAACCACTACACCAACTACAATTTCATGATATTATATCAAACTTAATTACATATACGTAGTATCTAGATTTTGGGGCCCCTCAAATTTGGGGGCCCTGTTCCGTCGACCACCTCGCTCCGGCCCAGAACCGCCTATGGTCGTAGTGAGAAGGAACAACCAATGGTACCTCGACAGTGGTTGTTCTAAGCACATGACAGGAGATGAATCAAGATTTCTCTCACTGACGACCTATACAGGGGGAACTGTGACCTTTGGAGACAACAAGAAAGGAAATATTGTTGTCATAGGCAAAGTTGGAAGGTCAAGTTCTCATGCAATTGATAATGTATTTTTAGTCGAGGGTTTGAAGCATAGTCTACTCAGTATTTCTCAATTATGTGACAAAGGAAACTCTGTAAGTTTTTCTTCCGAAAAATGCAGAATCATCAACAATAACACTGGGAAAATCGTTTTGGAAGGAACTTGTAAAGGGAACACGTACACTGTGGACCTAAATACGGTTCCAAAATATAATTTGTCCTGCCTAAGTGTTATTGAGGATGATCCACTTCTACGACATAAACGCTTTGGACATGCTAGCCTTTCACTTGACAAGCTAAGGTCAAAGGGCTTGGTAATTGGACTTCCTTCTATCAAGTTCCTAAATGAAAAAGTTTGTGAAGCTTGTATAAAAGGAAAGCAAGTTCGATCATCTTTCAAATCTGTAAAATAGGAGCGTTGTTTAGCAGTTCACAAATTTAATCCAAACCTAATCATTTAACCCAAATATCACTTGACTTAATCCGATACAACCCATGCTGACCCTATAATCAATGTTTATTAAAATTATAAAAACATTTTTTTTATAATAAAGTTAAAAAAAAAAAAAAAAAAAATTTGAACCAAAATGATCAAAGTCCAAAATCAACTCCATCTAGTCGTGGAAATTCCAATGATAACCCCTACTTTTTATTTAGTTTCGATGACCCTAAGTTTTTAAATTATTGAAAACCTCTAATTATTAATCAGTAATTAAACGTGACATTAGTAAGTAAAAATAAATAAATAAATAAGTTAAATCACAATTAACCCCCGTCCTCCCCCTCTGTCCCAGTTTCCTATTGAGGCGCCTACAGATATTTCTATCCTCCATTAAAACAGCTAATGAGGTAATTTATTGTTTCTTATTGTAACCTTCGAATCACTTTCACACTCTAGGGTTTATTGTTGATCTAATTTAATTTAATTTTCAGTACAGTAAATTTAGGGTCCAAAATTTTGAACTAGTGGTTCTAATTACTAAGGTTCTGAAAAATCATAATGAGCAATTATGCTGCTAGAGAAGAAAATTATGGGCCTAATTTGATAATTGAATCAAATGTGCTTTTTTTTTTCCTAATATTATGTGATTTTTCGAGCCTGATGATAATTGTATCAAATTTGGTTGCTAATGTGTTGCAGAGCCCTTTAATGCTGAATTTTGGATTATTCTATACATTGATTTTCTAGGAGAATGGTGTGCTTTATACACTGAATTGTCATTTGTTGAAGTTTAGAATTTGTTCAAAGATTCAATTTGTGTTTAGAACATTTAATTGAATTATATGTAAGTGCTAATTGAACTTAATTTTCAGATTTTCTTTAGGGTTGAAGTATGCATGGTATTAAGGTAGATGTTAAATGTTTACAAACATAATGGATTTGTAGAATTTTCGTGAATGGTGAAATTTTGGTTTGAGTTTAATTTATATACTTGGAAATTTAGAGGTTTCAATTCGGGTGTTCGGATCGGGTTTGGTGAAGTCGGTTGGGTCTATTTCAAACTTGAGTCAGGCTAAATTAGTGTCCATGTGAGTTGAACTTTTAATCGGGTATTTTTCGAGTTGAGTTGGTTAGGTCAGGTTTTGTCTTGACACCTCTTATTCACAATGATTGTAGGTCGGATATAAAGGTTGATGACTTATGGTGCGGAAACATTGCGGAAAATGATGTTAGTGATGAAGAGATTGATCCAGAAGAGCTCGAAAGGCGAATGTGGAAGGATCGAATCAAGCTCAAGAGAATGAAGGAGAGGGAGAAGCTGGAGGTCCAGCAGGCTGCTGAGGAGAAAAAGCCTAAGACGAGTGATCAAGGTAGGAGGAAGAAAATGTCTCGAGCACAAGATGGGATTTTGAAGTATATGTTGAAGTTGATGGAGGTATGCAAAGCACGAGGATTTGTGTATGGGATAATTCCGGAGAAGGGAAAGCCGGTTAGTGGTGCATCTGATAATATAAGAGCATGGTGGAAGGAGAAGGTCAAATTTGATAAGGATGGTCCTGCTGCTATAGATAAGTATGAAGCTGATTGTTTGGCAATGAGTGAAGGAGCTGATAATGGAAATGGAAATGGTCAAAATGCTCTGCAGGATTTGCAAGACGCTACTTTAATGTCGCTGTTGTCATCGTTGATGCAGCATTGTAATCCTCCTCAGAGAAAATTTCCTCTAGAGAAAGGCGTGCCTCCACCGTGGTGGCCTTCTGGCAATGAAGAATGGTGGTCAAAGCTGAGTTTGCCAAAGGGTCAGAGCCCTCCATATAAGAAACCACATGATCTAAAGAAGATGTGGAAAGTTGGGGTTTTGACTGCTGTGATCAAGCACATGTCTCCTGATATTGCAAAAATCAGAAGGCTTGTGAGGAAATCTAAATGCTTACAAGACAAGATGACTGCCAAGGAGAGTTCAATTTGGTTAGGGGTTTTAAGCTGGGAGGAGTCCTTTATCCGGCAGCCTTGCAGCGATAATGGAATATCGGGTACTACAGGGAGTCCACCGGGCTCACATGGTGAAGAGAGGAAACATGCTGCTTGTAGTGATAGTGATTATGACGTTGATGGCATTGATAAAGGTGCAGGATCTGTTTCTTCTAAAGATGAAAGGACAAATCAACAAAGTGATGCAGAAACAATGGGTGAAATCGTGATCAATAACCGCTCTTCTGTCAGGAGTAAGAACCCTGTTGAGAAACAAAATAAGAGAAAAAGATCTCGTGGAAAAGCAAGCTCAGTTGATCAGCAAACCACCCCTTATATGGATGATCAACAGGTGGCACCTATTGATCCGCAGTTGGCACCTACTGATCAGCAAGCTGCACCATCTACAAAAGAGAATTTGGTGAGTGAACCTGCAAGACCCGGTCTTGTGTCTAACTTGAACCATAATAATGCAGGTTTGAATGATTTCCAGATGCATAATAACCAGCAGGAGAATGGCTCGATATTTGTCGAACCCTTGCCGTCTTTGGACAGTGATATATTGGGGCAATTCCATCCTCCAGCCTCTGATTATAGTCAATTTAGTCACTTTTCCAATGTACATCCTCCCAATTTTATGTCTGGACATAACATGTTTGTTGGAGGCCAATCGTTCCACCATCCGACTGTACAAGGTGCTGAGTTGCAACAGAGTAATACTTATTATCCATCAATTCAATATGGGCAAAGACTTGACAAGCAGCGATTGCAGCATACCATTAGTGAACCCCAAACAAAGCAAGAAGCTGTTGGAATACATCCTCCATCCCTTAACACAACCGAGAATGATATAGGCCACTTGCACCATTACGGTGTTGATGCATTCCAGGAAAAGAATCGACCCTTTGATAGTCATCTTGGATCTCCCTTTAATGGCCTTTCTGTAGATTTTGATCAATTTGATACTACTTTCTCTGGAATTGAGGGCTTTGGTTTAGATGAGGATTACTTAGCTGGTGACGACCTTGACATCTTGCAATACTGTGGAGCTTAGAGTGGCGGAGTGGGTTTTTTTCGCAGCTAATATTGTGAGTTATGATTGTCATTTTCTTGCTGATATCTCCGGACTTTATATTATGACAGCGTTTTAATTTAGCATAATTTTCTTTTTCAGGCAGCACTCCAAGCAAGCTGAATTAGGGATGAGCTGGATAGTTGTCAGCTTGATAGTCCATCAAGTTTTAAGTTACTAGACTAGTTTAATTCATTTATCCCAACAACAGTACAATGATCAGTTCTTGAGGATTTGACATTATGTAATTGATATGTTTGGATTGAATAGAATTTGTATATTTGGTTTGGTTGATCTTAATCTTCTCATTACGAGGCATTGAAATTCTTCAGATTTGATCATGATTGTAGCAGCGCTGTTTTAGGTGGAAAATAAAACATTATGCTCTGCATTGTGGTTAATAAAGGATAGACTAGACTAGAAAATCACCAAGAAGGTGCGAGAAGGGGTACCGATTTTACCCAAAACATTGCAAATTTAAATATGAATTTCATCATTTACTTGATAAATCTAACTGTAGTTTGGGTTACAGAAAATAAAAGCATGTTTATAATTACTCCGTACTTTGTATTTTTAATGTGTAATGAATATTTATCTCTGTGGTCCATGTAGATATGGGCTATCACTAATTTGGATAGTGTAGAAGTATGGCATTGCCTTTTTCGACTGTGCATTGGCGCCTTTTGGCGGTGGTTTAAACTACTAGTAATAGACTAATAGTGACTTTCTATTGAAAGTTTATGGTATTGTCAAAATGATATTTGAGGGGCAATTGAGGTGTGTTGAAAGGTTGTAAATGGAAAGTAATGTGTGTGATATTATTCCTTACTTGATGCTGTATTATTTGTCTGTTGCAGCTTTGGAAGTCCCACTGTGAGAGAGTTGGTTGAAAATGCTCTTGATATTGCAGAGTCAGGATATCAGCTTCCTGTTGTAGAGGTCACAATGTAAGTGGTTGCACACTCAGCTAATTTAATGAATTACGACGGGAATGTATGGATAGCAATATCTAAACCTGTTGACAGGTTTGACGTTTGATCATTTGGTTTTTTTATTTTTTATTTTTTTATTTTCAGCATCTAATTTCGTTTTTTAACTGTTTTCTGGTACTGAAGTGAAGATACAGGGAAGAACAAGTTTAATTCTATGATTGGTCTCATTGATCAGGAGCGAGTTGATCAGGAATTATGTGATGATTACAAGATAGCTAAGGCTCGTGGGGTGACTGAGCTTCTAGTGTTCCTTCAAATGCAATTTGTTATTTAAGATCCTAGCATGTCAAGTATTGTATTGCTACAATATTTCATATCAACTTTTGCTGTGAAATTATATTACTGCTGTATGTCATGCTATGCAGTGCTCAACTATTTGATGGCCACCCTTTTCTTGTGGAAGCTGGAGTCTGTTGTAGTAAAGATGTTAAACAAGTAAGTTGCATCTACTTTGATGATTTTGGTCATTGAGAAGTAGTAGTGATGTCACTAATTGAGGAATGTAAAGGTGGGATTTTAGTCCCTCAAGGACAGAAAGGCATTGATGTGAGGTTGGGGAGGTTGTCTTTCTTCTGATAGAGTTACAAGGACTTGGCGATCAAGCAAGTTGGTGTGCCAATATGTTGATATAGTACCTCCGTTTCAAATTATTTGCAACGATTTGACATTTTTGGAGGTAGTATAATGGTTTATGTGCATCCATTTGATGGAGATGCATCATGTTGCTCCTCATCGCCGGTAGAGATACTGCTGGCTGCTGCATTGCTGTGCTTTTAACCTTAGACTGTGATCATATATCTTAACCTCGTCTCAACATTCTCTTGATTCAGGCTGCTGTAAATGTACTCATGCATCAATCACGGACTTGTCTTTGTTACGGCTCAAGCTTGTCTTCCCATTCCTACAAGCTATAACAAGGATTTGTGTTTGGAGAATCGATGAGCGATTACCACCACCCTTAGAGGACCCTTCCATGGATCTTTAATCTAAGGTTAATCTTGGAATTCAATTTCTTTGCATGCAAGTCCATCTTCGTAGTAGAAGCTACCTAATGCAAGTTTGTCACAATTTAATACAGGTATTATTTCTGTATTTGTATTTACACTTATATAGTGATATATTCTAAATCACCCTAAAAAAAAAATCCTTACTAAGTTTGATGGGATGAGGAGATTTTGATACAAGAATTACATATTATACAAGTGAAATAGTGAATGTATAAAGTTTAGATGACACTAATATAAATTTTTATGTTTAATGGTTATGTCAGAAATAATTTTGGTATAAATTATATTTTGTACTTCAGTCTTACTACTTTTACAATTTGCAATTAAAAATTGTTTATTATATTATATAAGTATAAAAGAAATTCAACATTAATATCGTGATATATCTACTTCTACTTAGGTTTCTTTTTTTTTAATTTTAACAATTTAAATACGAAATAATAAGAACGCTAAGGAATAAAGAAAGTAGTAAATAACACAAGCATATGCACTTTTATTCTATTAGTGCACAATTCATCGTCCACAAATTGTAAGTATCTTTTCTTTACCTATGCATAGTCCTTTACCTAGAATGCATGGTGCTTCAATGGATCATCGTACCGTATTGGACACATGATGCACACTCGTATCCTTATGTGTATTGGGCTACTTTGATATGGAGTATATTTTATTTTATATTTAAATCATTAATTTTTTTTAACAAACTTTATTTTCAATTTACTCATTTAGATGAATTTTTTAATGATTTTTTCATCTTATGTAGAAATATATTGTATAATACTACTCAATTAACCTACCTATATCCCCTAGTTTTAAAACTAGCTCCGTAACCATTTTTGTACAGCCTAGGTCCATGCAATATAATTCAGTTCCCAAAAGCCAAAGGCAATGCATAAAGAAGAGGTTCGTGGAAGTAAAAGCTGTAGAACAAAGCAAAGTTAGTAACTTGGTACAAATCTTAGCAAGAATCGTCACTTTTTTAACTTTGAGGTAAAAAGAAAAGGCCAAAACAAATTTCAGAAATAAAGCATTTTTACAGCAGCAACTTGTTTCTACCAACTTTGCTCTCAAAATCAGGGATCGTTTATTCTTTTGTTCACATACGGTTAAAAAACCCATCTTTACTCTGCACATTATTTCTGATTTTGTAAGAAAATTATTATAGCATTGTTGTACAAGTTGTCGGTCCTTTTTCTCACCGGTTAATATGTTTTTATTTTTACTATTTTTAAAAAAATATTACTATAAATAAACATTTTAACCACTGGTTATAATACACCTACACCTATGCTTGTGTTACAAAAGTGGAAAAAAAAAATTAAAAAAAAATAACTTGTTACAAAATATTCAAAAATTAATATTGCACCATAAACATCATATATTCAAAATTTGCTTCATCTCAAAATAAATAAGTAAATCAAAATATGCATATAAAATAAAATCATAAAAGGTGACAAAGTCTTTAATTACCATAAATTTGGCACAATGAATGTGAATTATATGTTACGAGTACAAAATTCGAAAACATCAATTAAACTCTTAATGTAAAAATATGTATCAAATATTAATCATGTCATAAAAAAAATTTGGGTAGTACTCAACTCAAGTATGGATGAAACTAGGTTGACTTGACACTACTAAACTGAATGACATAATACTCAAATTTAGTGAAACTCATAATACTCCGCATGTAAACACAATCGAAATCTAAATCAGTAATAAGTCGCCCAGCCATTTACACAAGATTCAATTTAAGCCTTAATCCTTCTTTTTTAAGCACTAGTCACATTATTTACAACCCAAATCAATTTTGATCATGTAAACATTAAACACTTTAAATTTCACACGAACCACATAATTCTAATCAAGTAATCGGATACGGTTACATTTACCTCTAGAGGCTAGGGTCTAGTGGGGTAAGTTAGTATATGGTGAAATCTGAGTGAGTCCTAGTCACTATTTAGAATTCACGTGTGATATTCAGGCAAAGAAAGGCGTTGTGCTTATCGCCCGCTTCTTCTCTGCTAACACTGCAAAAATAAAAAGCCAACTTCACCCCACCACACCCACTACAACTCACACCACCAAATATTTGTCAGTTTAATTATTTTGTGTTTTCTGTGTATTTTCTATTTTGTGTAAGAACCAGAGCACAATTTTCCATTGTTATGTCACTTACCCATCTTTCAATTTCATTTTTTATTTTATTTTACTGTATATTATATGATCAATATTTTCAAACATTGTACCAATATTTCTGACTGGCTTTTTTTTTTTAATAAAAAAAAATTACAAGAAATTCATTTATGTCACAATTTTATTAAATTTGTAAGTCATCAATAATAGTAGCAACTGTACTAAATGTCCACCCTACGCCTTAAATGTCATGTCTCTACGTTTCTTACCCTGTTTTCTTTCCTCACTCAATTGTTTTTGTCAGAAAATTACACCACACTCTAATGAAGAGAGAGAAAGATTGCGATAGTTGTCTATCGCGTTAGGCTATTTGGCTAACTTGTTTTCTATATAACAGACTTCGAAATAAATGTGTTACGACTACATAAGTATTAAAAACACCACATGAACCTATCTATTTAAACCGGGGAATTAGGTAACCCGCTATTCTTACAGTACAATTCGTAAATGATTTCATGTAACTTTTGATACAGATAAGAGTTATGTTAAAAGAGCAAGCTAGTCATTTTCATTTATTTATGTATTGTTATTTCATCTATCTTAGCCCTTAGTCCTCTCTACCAACCCCATACATGCTTGCTATTTCTTGTCACTTTGTAATATTGTTGCCCACTTTTTGTTTTCTCCTTTCTCATTTCTCACACTAAGTTTGAGGGGTTGATTACTGAGCTGGGTGTATGGCAACTGAAGGCTCGGGTTCGGGTTCGGGTTCGGGTTTGGGTTTGAACTCGAAGGTTCAGTCACTGCCACCGCCACAGCCGAAGTCGCCACCGGATTTGTATGGGCGGAGAAGGGAAATGGTTAGACTTCAAGTGCTTGAAAGAGAGAAAAGCTTACTAGAGGTTAGTTTACTTATTTTATGCTAACTTTTATTTATTTATTTTTATTTATTTATACATGTATTCTCTATGATTAACTAAATTACTTCTTTTCTCAAAAAAAAAAAAAAAATAATAATAATAAATAATAAATTACCTCTTAAATTATACATACACAATTAGTGTTTATAAAAGGATAATTGTGTTTTAAATTTTGGTTGAGTTGGTCAAAATTCCAGTCAATTAATGAACATTGTTCATGTAATGCTTCGTAGGTGATATTATTACAACTCAAAAATATGTAGCTTTAAAATTTTGATTCCCTACACAATATTATTTCTAGGCTTTTGAGGAATTACAAGTGATATGATATGTACTTTAGAAATAGAAACCTTAGCTTACTCAAAAAACAAGTACTTTCTAAGCTTGTCAATTTATATTTAAACAGGACTAACACAATCCTTTTTGGTCGGTTTTAAAATAACATTTCACATTACTCCCTTCTTGTCATTTTCTATTCTATTTGACCCAAAAAGTTTTTCATAACAATTACTCAATAGAGGTAATTAAAGACGGATGAAGTATTTTGTGACAATTAGCTCTTTCTTTTCATATGATATCGTATTAAATCAATAACATAACATGACATAATACTAAAACAAACACCAGGAATGACACGTGTCACTTTCTGGTGTTGTTTTTTACCTCCAAAACTCCTCTCCTCTTTTGGCCAAAAATCTTTTATTTTTAGAATATTTGTATAATACAATTATAGTAACATTGTTCCAAATCTTATGTATTATCTTTACATAAAATGTATTTTTTTTTATTTTGTGTTCTTAGTTCTTCCATACACATTTACCGAAAATATTATTCAAACTTTTTTCAAATTATAGAAAAAGTGAGCCACTAGTTCAGATACAAGATACAATCATTACCGCCTGAACATCTTTTAGACGGAGTATTATTGAATTTTGCTCAAAAAGTAATAATAAAATTGATTCATATAATTGATATTAATTAAAGAAATTACTTTAAAACATCACTTTAATTTTTTTCAAATACCTCTAATATTTTGTTTCTTAGACTAATGGAGTATTAAATATGACTATGAAATAAATGTTGTGTTCGACAGCTATATCATATGTCTAATTCCAGGAAAATATCAAGGTTATTACGTGATTAAATAAAATTAATATCTTAGTAAATGTAAAAAAACTTATTCTCTTTTGCTGAAATATCTGATTGGTATAATAAATTTATTACATTCGACATTTATAAATAAGTTGCATAGTAAAAGATATGTCGGACGTAGTGACAAGTGACATCTTCTTGTGTATCCTTTTTTTTGGATAAATAGCTATCATCTACAAATAAACTTTTAAGGCAATAAACAAACAATAATTATTGGATAATTTCAAACACAATTTTATATAATAACAAAGAGTGGAGATATCATGTTCATGTAGAGCATCAATTCATAAACAGAAAATGTACCATTAATAATGTAGGTTAGTGTTACCTAATTGTGGATTATTATTGCCTTTAATGGTCTGAGTAGTATTTATTTCTATTGAAATTATTTTATTAGATATAAAGGTGATATATTATTTGTAATTTATATACTTACATGTATGTTGTGCTAATAGTTTTACCGTAGATTTTATTCTGTTATTTGATTAATATTTTCATGTTTATTAAAGGGCATTTATAAATAAGTCTTTAGTTATATATTCACTAGATTGTATAGTTTTATTGGGAATAATATGCATTATCATTATCATAATATAATGTATACTACTTTTAAATATTTACAATACAACTAATCAACAATAAAAAAAATTCTCATTAGTAATTTTAATAATTTTTTCCTTATTATTACTTTTCTATATACATTGCATTAGTTTATTTCATATGAATTGCCTCATTTTTATATTATATCACAATTAATTATGGGAAAAAGATTATTACTTGCGTAAAAAAAAAAAAAAAAAAAAAAAAAAAAAAAAAAAAAAAAAAAGATTATTACTACCGTGCATCGCACAGGCACTAATCTAGTTCCTTAATAAATGAGTCACGAATAGAAGAGTACTTCACTTTATACATACAAAACTTAATTTAAGAACGAATACATTCTTTTTCATGTCCAAGATGGAAATATTGTGTACATTTTCAACCGTTTTCATTCTTTACTCATCACATGAATTCTTTCATTAACCTGTTACAACATACGAAGTACTCCGTAATATATTGGTCTATATTAAGAATGAATGTACATGATTTTGGTGTCCAAGTGATTGCGGGTAAGTTTGTAAGACGTGTATGTCTAGGCTTTTCTGGGCCTACATCACTACACATGTATGGTAAGTTGGTAACTTAAATTCTTGGCTTAGTGGTTTTTTTTTTTTTTTTGGCTGCTTTTTATTTATTATTATTTGTACTTGGAATAAAAAGCTCAGAATTTGCTGCATTGGAATAATGGAATGGTTGTAAATTTTTTTAGTTTAATTCATGACTTTTTTATTTAATTTTTTTTTTATACGTAGGATTATATATATATAATTTTTTGGGGGCTTAAAAATACTGTTCTACAATAGTAATAATCTGATAATTCTCTGGACAATGCAAAACTCGAAAATTGCATCTCTTCTAAAACATTTTGATCTAGACAAAAGAAAAAGTGGAAGATTTATTTCTTTTTATAGATAAAAACAAGCTTTAAAATGTCAGTATGTTACCAGGCTAAAGTAAGAAAATAAAATTTTCACTAAAATTAAGGTTGTGTCCATTGCTGCCTTACCTTGCTTTGCTTGAACTGTCTTAAAGGAAGTCTTCCACTCAGTGAGTCACTTCGTACCTTTGCTAGATTTTTTTCTGTCTTTCGGTTGTTTTACTTTCACGTAGGTGGGACAGCGCGGATGGATTAAGAAGAAGAAATTCTTTACAACAATCAATATAAAGTATAGTAAGCCCCCTCTATCTTCTCGACTGTGATCTCTTGTTCGGCGTTGATGACAAATTCTAGCGAAAAAACCTCTGGCTTGAGTCTTGTTCTCGAAGTTGTAAGGGATTTAGCTACCTTAGATAGATGCCAGGATAAGGATTCGCGGTGTATATTGAATCCGAGGAAGGAGGATAGACAAGTAAGGCACTACATGTTCACCGAGCCAAAGTGATACCATGAGACCTGCACCAAACTTTTCCTGCTCCGGTTTCATGGTAAGAAACTTACTCAAGCTAGCAGCGGATACCATGGATATGCAGGTAGACGTCTTGTTCGATTACAGCTGGTATAAGGGTCAGTCATAGATTCTGTCCTATGATAACCAAGGTAAATAGGAGTGAAAACTTACGTCTCTTCTTTACTGAGGCTACAATCCCAGTAGTCACGAAGCCAGTTCCGGCTTGCTCCGCACAGACTACACAAGCCTTGCTCGAACGAATCAAAGAATTTCTCAGGAGATGATCCACTTTTGGGATTAAGACAAGGAAAGTCTAATTCACATTACTCGGCAATCTTCCCGTCAAGAAAGAAGACCGAACAATTTAATACAAAGAGTTCCGACCAAGACTGCTGAAAAAATATGGCTTGTCGCCAAGGGGTTCACTCTGAAAGAGGACATCGACTACACCTTTCTTTTCTTTTTTGAATACTTCACAGTCCGTTCACTATTGAAACTTCAAAGACATACTGCCAGAGCGCAATGACTTCACCTGCTTTTCATCGTTAGATGATGAGAGCGAGGTAAAATAACGTAGAAAGAGAGAAAGTAAGTCTTCCCGACTATCGCAGTTAGGTTGCCAATTATTTGGTAAGGAGACCTGAGTGAGAGGCTTGCTCTCAGCTCTAGCGACTGGTGCTGGTCTTTCAGTTTTCAATAAGCCTACAAGGTACTAATAATGATGATGCATCTGCTTGTACAAGATAGAAGCATTAAGCGACACGTTATTAGTGCCCTCGTGGCCGATTTGAGGATTGCAATGCCTCACGTCTAGAAAAGAGCATTCCGTGCGACTCGCTTCTAACTTAATTTAGGCGTTAGGGAGCAGACAAAGAAGGAATGTTGGTTCCTAGTGCTCATTGAGCCGGTACGGGGTTGCCAATGTTGCGTATGATTTGTAGACTTTCTACATCTCATCCAATTGTCTCAGGTTCTAACTTGCGTCACAGGTTACGACCTGAGCATTGGCAGTTACACTGACCACATTTGTAACCGCCTGTGATCAGCGCACTTGTTCTGCTTTGATGTCTCATTGTAGGACTCTTGCCTTCAAAGGTGGGGTGGGCGCCTTGGAGATGGAAATCTCTCCAAGACACCTTATCTACTGACCATATTGTCTGTCAATCGTTGCAGTCATCAATACAGTTGGCAGTTTACAACTGCAGTTGTGCTTGGTGTTTTGCCTATTCACTTATGGGTGGAATGCAGTCGTACTAGACCAGGCCTTGATGAGATACTTATTGCTGCTGCTAGTGGAAAGGAAGCTAGTAGTGAAGCGATGAGTTATCATCTTTGGTTCTCGGTTTAGCCACGACTGGATTAGCCAGTCTCGTAAGTCAGCGCCCAACCGGGCACTCCCGCGAAAGCGGTCCGCAGGTGTGCAAAGCTGCCTACGATAACGTATTGTGAGTTAGTTGAACTCTCCAGTCTTTGGCATCATGTAGATTAGAGTGCGCACACAGGGTAAGCACTGCTGAGGCTAGCTAATATCGTACCTCGGTTTGCTATTAACCGATTTTCTCTGTTTGTGTTTATGCTGTGCGCTTCACGCTCTGCTAGCATAGAGTCGTTGTCTTACCTCCTTGGGAGAGAGTGATTCTCTCTTACCGCTTATTAGAACATAGGAGAAAAGCACTATGCTAGCGTCATGAGTGGTAAAACAATCATACACATTCTGACCTGAAAACTCCTTCTAAGCCCGGCCTTAAGAAAGAATCAAAGGTGAAATCTCCTCTAACAAGTAAGTAATTTCATACCTCTCCTTTCTGGCTAGCTTTGGCTGGAGATCAATCAGATGTAATCACTGAGGTACGATGTTACTCTGCACTTGCTACAAGTAAACTAAACTTCCAAAGCTTACGTTTGCTACAAGTCACTGAGCTCAAGCCTATAGCTAACGAGCCTTTAGTTGCGGTACGAAGTTATCGACAGGGAGAGGAAGGGAAGGACTGTAACAGCTGTCGAATGAGACTTTTGAGTACCTGTAAAGGAGAATCAAGGTTTGAAGACGCTCGACCATAGGGAGAGGAGCGGTAGGAACCACTCGCATATAGTAATTAAAGGAGAGGAATAAGCAAGCCATTAGTAGGGAGTTTGGGTTCTCTCTTACATCTAACCTAGGCAAGTATCTTGGTGTTCCATTACTCCATGAGCGAGTTACCGAAATTAGAAATATATTGTTGATAGAGTTCGGGATAGATTGAGTGGATGGAAAATCAACCAGCTTTCCTTGGCGGGCCGAAATGACTGACTGAGTAAGGATGATTCGGCCCTACCCACGTATACAATGCAAACGGTTTAGCTGCCAACATTGACTTGTGAAGAGATTGAAGCTCACAGTAGATCTTTTATCTGGGGGTCTACGAATGAGAAGAAGAAGCCCCATCTTGTTAAGTGGGAGCAGGTTTGCCAACCAAAGGTTAATGGGGGTTTAGGCATAGGGAGGATGAGTCAGAATAATGAAGCTTTTCTTATGAAGCTCGGGTGGGGAATATTTACTCTTCCTAATGCGCTATGGGTGAAGGTGTTACGTAGTAAATACATGAGAAAGAAGGTTGGTGTTCCTCAACCCGTGGCCAAAAGTAGTGATTCGCCTCTTTGGAAAGGAATTTTCAAGGTGTGGGATTATTAAATGTGCTGAAAGCGGTGACTCGACTGAAAGGATAGGGATGAAGTGGGTAATTGGCAATGGGCGGATTCTAAATTTATTGAAGGAATTCATGGTGGATGGGAAAAACCCTTGATAAAGTTATAGCTGCAGTTCCTCAAGAGGACTTGTCAAGATGCATGGCTTATTGTGTTGATGAGAATGGGTGTTGGAAGTGGGATAAATTTCAGCATCTCTTACCAGTGGCATCGTGTCTTAAAATAGCGGGCATTAAGCCGCCTTCTATCTTATTCTTCCGAAGGCTAGTTAATAAACCAAACCCTGTGGACAGCGGATATGCGACATCCCATAGAAAGTTGGGATGAGCTGCCGGTCTCCATATTCATCACTTCGAGCTCGCACAATGGTGCGTAGCTTGCCCACACGAAGAAGAGTAAGGGTATAAGATATTCTTTCCTAACCACCTAGTATTCAAACAAAGGGCTTGTTCTCTTTTCGACGGCAACTAACAATTGCATAAGAGAAGAATGCGGTTAACGTAGGTAGGATCAAGGCGGCGATCAATGCTATCCGACTGGAATGATCGAATCGATTCACACTTGACTTGATCGAGATTGGGTTGGTGTTCAATGTACCCGGTACAAGATCGAAAAGAATGCCGATTCTTGATACAGAATTTTTCGAGAAAAGGTCCCATCCTTCAATATCATGATTGGGTCAACCAGGCCAGATCATGAGTCAAAAAGAAAAACAACAAAAAAAGAAAATGCTACCTATAACAAAAAAAAAAAAAATTGGATCCATTTTTTCGTAGGTTTTGTTTATCCTTATCTCGAATTGGCATGCTTATGGTATTTTCGGCTGGGCTTTTACTCCATATGGACTTTCAAAGAAGAGTCACATATTCTGAATTTATTTTTATTTTTTATTATTTTTTTTTTTTTTTTTGTATCCTGTCAAAATTCTTTTTTTAAAAAAAAAAAAATTATTACAGAGTATTTTTCAATTTTATGCAATGGGAATACAAAACACCTTGGCATTATACTACTCTCTTCGTCTCTATTTGTTAGTCCAATTGTTTTTCCACAATGTTCAAAACATATCTAAAAATATTAATATTTCAAATTTTGAACAAGTAAAATTTTATAAAGGCAGACGCTAACGAGCGTTCCGGGGCGTTAGATAAGAAAACTAAATGTGGAAATATTAAAGTAAAATTAACATTAATTACACCGATTAACGCGTGATTTTGTCATACATTCCAAACTTAATACTATTTTTAGTAATATATTAATTAGTTATCAAACGTCCCCGCGACGCTTGTTAACAAGATCCTTAACTAAAAACCTGATACTAAAAAATAATAATAAAATGAATTTAACAAGATTCCACGTGACTATTAAATCTCATACATTAGTGAAAAAAGTGGTCAATGTTTTTACAATTTGACCCCAAAAATATAATGGGGCAAACAAATAAGAATGGAAGGAATACTATTTTAATGTAATGTTACTAGATATGTCTAAAATCAACTTTTCAAAGATGTGTATCAACCTTCGCTTTGATGTGAAATCATGTCAAGAATTGTTGGACCTTTAGCTCAATATAAACCCTTGCATGTAACCAGCTACTCTATGTTACATACTCCCTCCGTCCCTTTATTTTTGCCCCATTGTTATTTTTTGGGTCAAATTTAAAAACTTTGACCACATATTTATCTTTTAATTTATACTTGTAAGAGATAATATAGTCATGTGGAACCTTGTTAGATACGCCTTATTATAATTTTTTTATTATTATTAATATCACATTTTTATAATTTGTATGTGTATGAAAATAAAGATATAGACGTTCTAAGACACGTTTTGGAGACCATACAAAGTCAAATGGAGCAAAAAAATAGGGACAGAGGGATTACATGACAACAACATTTTACAATAATACTATAGCTGTACAATCGATTAATCATGGGCTGGCCCATGGCTTGGGTAGGCCTTCTTTGGATGTGTCTATAAAAACAGTATATTTAGCCACTAATGTTCTTTTTTTTTTTTTTTTTTGAAAACTAATATTCCTAATTTTGTATTTTCAAAATCATAAGAAATATAAAAAATAAAAACTGTTTTTGATGAACTAATCTTAACTGGACTTAATCGTTGGCTTGTTGCCGAACTTTTGCTAAAAGCAATTTTAAAACTGAGACATAATGGGCAAATGATGTGGGATATAATTTCATGTTTTGGATACTCACCCCAAGATTTTAACTACCTAAAGTAGTTGGCATCAATTCACAATAATTGTTAAATAAGGGTCACAAGTAACATATGTTACATTGACTTGAAAAAAAAATAAAAAATAAAAATCACAATCATGCATACATTTTTAAACTCGAACCACAATAACCTCAACTTATAGTCATGTACTTTTGGACCAGAAACCACTCTTTGTTTGATAATTGAATACATCTACATACACTACAATAAAAGGAGAATCGGCGAAAGGAGGATAGGTGAGACCTTCGAGCTTCTTACCTTCCCCTTGGTGCAAGGGTTCAATCCTCATCATAGACACAGATTGGGAGGGGGTATGTTGCGAGGGATAGGCTTGAGTACCTGATTGATGAACCTAACATCGACCTCTTTGTATCTATCCAACAAGAAATAATAAGCAATCGAAGTAAATGTTGAGCTTCAACTCCTGGCCTACTTATTAGCTTGATTAACGATTCTTCAAGTAACATCACGACGATAAAGTTATTTTCCTTGCTGAATTCTTCTGCTTTAATTAAGTGCATACTATTATTTGACTGTTAATGCTTCAACATTCTAACTAAATTTTCTTGCAAGCAGGAAGAGTTGAAATTTGCAAACCGCCTTCAACCTGCCTCCAGATGCTGCAAAGAGTATGCTTGGTTTTGCAATAGCCTTGTATAGCATCTGTTTTTTTTTTTGTTTTTTGTTTTTTTTTTTTTTTTTTACCTTTAGCATAATCTAGCATTTTAAACATTTATCTTGGAACATGCGTAATTTGCGTATTGATCTGACTATTCGACAGGATTGCTGATTATGTCACAGCAAATGCAGATCCATTGCTTCCAACGTAAGATGATTTTAATGTATTACTAACTTGTAAGTCAATCATTTATCGCTTAATCTAAATAGTGTCTGCACATAATGCAGAAATCAGAAAACCGGCAAGTCCTGCTATCTATGGAAGTGGCTCTGGTATGTTGTTCTTATTCAACCCCTTTTCTCTGCTATTATAAACTAGCAAGTTCAGCACTTCAGTTTAATGCATGATGCAGTTGATTTATCCGTTTATGATTTTGGAAGATGTTTTGCAGATTTTTTGTGTTGAATTTGTTTATTGTCCAAGTGATTTTTGTAAAATTTGCAGTTGAAAAGATAATATTCCCATCATCCTTAAATAATCACTCACCTGATTACAGGGTCATTTTCAAATTTACATAAAGTAATTAGCCTTCGCTCTTAAAATGTACACATTCACCACCAATGTAGTCTTTCGTTAAAATCTTCGTTATGGGCTATGTTACTGTAGGAGTACTCAACACTTGTGCATTGGTATGACACTTACACACTTCATTTTGATCCAAAGTGGGAAAAATGTTCATAAATTGATGTGTTCGACACTTGGACACATACTTGTTTTGAGTTTTGACACTTCTAGCTGAGTTTGAATAACATAAATTATGGATATGACAAGGATTATATGAGAAAGTTCAAATCTAACTTGCTAAATTTATAAAGTGCCCAATTAATTGAGACTATTTGAAATAAAGATGTGGCCTGTTTTTTAAAATAGCTAATACTTCGTAGTGTCCATACCATATTCACATATTGTGTTATACTTTTGACCACCGGTTCCTCTTTCTCGTTCTACCAAATTAAAGTATTTATTCCTGTTAATGGTGGGATGATTAGCCCCTACAAAAAGAAAAGAGAAAAAGAGGAATGGAAAAAGATATATCTATAAAAACATGCTTGATTTGTAATTTCTGCCCTTTTTATATACCTTCTATGAGAATAAATCAAGGAATTTAGGAGTTACCTTAATCATGTTTTGATCACTTCCTGTCAATGTCATGAATATACAGTGGGTCATCGTGCTTCAAGTTATCATGGGTTTGCTGCTGTACTGGCTGCACTAGCTGCACTATCCATCTAAAAAAACCGAGATGTTGTTCCTGTTGTTTAAAAGACTGCTGCTCCTGCTTCAGCTGTTCATTACCAAAGTGTAGCTGTTGGTGTAGGAATCCTTGCTCCTGCTGCTGTGACAAGAAACCTTGCTGTGGAAGCTGTGGAAGTTGTGCAAACTGTTACAGTTGTGGAAGCTGTACAAGTAGTTGCAGTTGTGAAAGTTGCACAAATTGCTGCAGTTGTGGAAGTTGCGCAAATTGCTGCAGTTGTTTAAAGTCTCTTCCGTGCTTAGACTGTTGTAGCTGTGAATGTAAATGCTCTTGTCCGAAATGCCCAGCTTGTTCAGGGTTATGCAATTGCTCATGTCCTAAATGCCCAACATGTTCAGGATTATGGAATTGCTCTTGTCCTAAATGCCCTACATGTTCCGAAATTTGCAAATCCTGTTTAAGCTGTTTAGGCCGTATAACAAAATGTTTCTGTCCATGTATATGCTGTTAACTTTTAATTGATATTGCAAACATGAAGCTTTTTGTTTATACCCTGGTTGCTATTTTCTTAATCGTTCTGTCAAATTCAAGAATTGTAAAAAGGAGGTGGCACCGTAGCAGTATCAAAATTTAATCTTTGTAAAGCCATATGCGTCGTTTGCGAGCTAATGCACATTACAGCATCAGGAACACATGGAGTCATAGCTAAAATTTCATTCTGTAGTTAAACCATCTAACAACACACCATTGAGGATAAAAGTTTCCTTCCATATTTCCGACCCAATTACATCAAATCGAATGGGCAACATACTTTTTCTACCTCTTGATTGAAAAGCTAGACTAATAGTTCTAATCTCAACTACAATCCCTTACAGTTTAGCACACTTGACCTCTTGTTGCTCCCACCCCAGTGTAAAGCATGCGAATTTGATGTCAACTGCAATGATCTAGAGATTTGAGCATCATGCTTCTCTCTCCAAACTGCATTTACAGCTGCTAACAAGCATCTCGAAATCAGGTGATGCTGCAGAAAATGCAACCACCCAGCTGGATGATAAATAGAACTTACATTGCTGGAGACCATGTAAAAGACACTGGACTTCTGACTTGGTACGTCTTACTGGTCCATAAAAGAGACCCAAAAGCACTTTTTGTAGTCGGAGCTGTTTTACCCTTCCTTGCAATAAAAATTACTGTGTATTTCTTCTTCTCACCAACACTCCTGAAAAGGAGCCTTGAAGGCCTCACCTTCACTCCTACCGTTGGGGGTGCATCAACATGAACTTGGTAGAGAGTTCTGGCAGCACCCACATTGGTAAGTTCACGAGTATAACGGATAGTCCTTGACTTACCAAATAAGACAGAGAATGACGGGTAATTTAAATCACCAGGATCCGCCAATTTCCTTGAACAAGTAATGTTTGGCCTCTTGGCAATGATTTGGCGATGCAACGGGGTGTAGTCCAAGGCGCAAAGAAAGGTAACATAGTCATCAATTGAGATATCATACACTAGGCCTGGATTCAATGCCTTGTGGGGGTCCACATGACCTGCTCCGTGAGCCCACGGGTTTGAGAGAGATCCATCAGTGGCATCACGAAGTGGCTTTAGCATGTTGTCGTGGTTGTAAGCAGTAGTCATGAGAGCTGATTTTATTGCACTTGGACTCCATTCAGGATGCGCTGCTTTAAGCAATGCTGCTAATCCACTAATGTGTGGACATGACATTGATGTTCCTGCAATCATCACATATAATAGAGTCAACAACCCGGATTTCTCAAAAAATTGAATCCTACATCCATTACATATTCACTACTTTAACAATATAAAATATCATTACCATACATAAGCATCCAACATCGGCAAAACCTTTCTAGAAATCATATGGCATATGAGAGAGGCATCATTCAGAATGCAAGATAGGACCATGAAATCAAATAAAGGTAACATAGGCCAGCTACTGCCATTCTAATATCCCCATAACCTGAAACCGCAAATCACGTTGCTGCATCACTTTTTAAAAGTATTAGTAAGCCTAATCATTTCATTATGACTAAAGTCACTAAATACTGGGTATATTGGCTGCAAAGAGGGGACATCCCCTTTGTAGCAAGGACAATTATGCTTCTTTATTGCACTGACTGATATAATAATCATGATTAAAAGGTAGCATGCCAGTAAGCAACTTTCTGCTGTCTTCAACATTCAAGACCAAAGTATGCTCTACAACTCTACAAGCTTGGCTTACAAAATCGGACCACACGTCTCCTAATCTAATTCATGTATGTAGGTGCATTCTGTATATGATTAAAGAACTTTAGTAGACATTAATTCAAAGCAGGAAAAAAAAAATCTTAGATGGTGTCCATGAAAGCAGGATAATTGTGTATGCCAACTACGGCATTTATTATACACCCTTCAACCTAAAACAACAATTATTTTGTTGCCTGCTTTCATTTACGTTTCAAAGCTGAAGTATGGATAAGCCTCGTCATTTTGGTCCAAGTTTTAGAAGTTAGTAGGTTACCAGAAAAACATAGATTTCTTGTTAAATTTTTTGTACATGGTCAATGAGAGGTCATCAAACTAGCAAACTCTATAATCTATGCTCCTTTAAAACGGGGTAATGCTTGATTACAATTTATTGAAAATACTCACCTAACTTCTAAATCAGATCAAGGACAACATTATCTTCCAAACTAGATCTACATTAGAAACAAACATATGAAGAGGAGCACATTGCCACCTTGTATTAGTCACAATATTTACTTGTAAATCAAAATCACTACTAACAAAATTGCGCATGTAAATCCATCGAGGCTCAAAAGCACCAAACCTATTGATAAGTATGGACAAAGAGTTCACAATTCAGACATTAACAGAAGCAGATGAGCGCATACATTCAACAAGTGACAAATACTTACTGCCTCAGTAAAGTATAATTTTATTGAGGTAGCAAGGTCAGCTACACTGCTTAATATTTACCACCAGATGCAATTGCAAACATACTCATTGGAAAACCACACTAATAATTCAGCAGATTCAATTAAAATCAAGAACATAGTATCAGGCTATCAGCCACAGAGCTAGTGTCTCTTACTGAAGAAATCAAAGACCCATGGAAGCTTTAAAAAAAAAAAAAAAAAAAGGAAAGTATTTTCATGAATAATTGTGGTGTATACTACTGTATCATGCTAAAATGTATGAAATTAAAACTAACCATATTAATGTACATGCTCTCATGTCACTACTCACTACCAAATATAGTTACTAGGTTCACAAAAAGAGAAATTATGTCACTAACTTGAATCAAACATCTCAACAATATTATTTATTACATCACTTGCATTCACTATCTATACTCCCAAATATAATAAGTACTGTATTTTTCAAATTAATTCAACAGCAAAACAACCGAAATTGAATTGGTTTTTGATATACTCCAACATAACTATCCAACATGATGCTAGTGGATTTCAATTTAAATGGTTGATGTATTGTATGGTGGCATCCAAGACTTAGGATCAAATCCCATCTAATTTGCCCTATCCTAAATAAACACACGCTAAACAAGATGATAGTTTTGGATGGACTTCCAATCTAGGAAAGTATAGTTATTATCATGAAAGCGATCCAAAATTATACTCGTAATATGAAACTGTAAGAATTTCACTCCTATCCTATTCACCTGCATTCAATAATCATCAATCAATACACACCTACCATATTTCCAAAAACAGAAAACACATCCAAATATACAGAATCTATTACCATAATTCAACAATCAAACAATGCAAACATTCAATTACACAACTCCAAAACAATAAGTATATATATACCTGACATGATATTGAACTGAGTCTTCCTAGTGTCTTTCTCCAACCCAGTAGGTCCAGCAATCTCAGACCAAGCAGCCAAGATATTAACCCCGGGTCCGATCACATCCGGCTTCATGATCTGCGGCGTAACCATATTCGGCCCACGAGAGCTAAATGCCGCCACCACAGGCGACGGCCTCACATTCAACACGGTCCCTCCGAAACTCAACACGGCCGTGGCCTTATTCCCTGCACTCCTCACATACTCCCTGATCTCATCACCCATCTTCATCCCCACCGCCACCGCCGGCAACAAATGACTATCCGCCACCAATTCCTCCCCACTCGCCGCCGTATTCGCCAATATCATCCCAACCCCACCAGCCTCCTTCACCACTTCACCCTTCTCCACCCTCGCATTCACCCCACGATCACAGAGCACCACCTTCCCTTTCACCAAACTCGAGTCTAATGACCCGGGCATACACAAATTACTCGACCCATTTCTTCTACCATTACCACCATAATACAAACTACGGGTAGTTCTCCCCATTCCTTTCCCACTATACAAAGAAACCCCTGTAAATTTCTTACCATTGCCTAAAACAGCAAAAGCAGGGAAATTCCGATCTAAAGTACCCGCACCAACAGTCATAATCCACGGCGCCGTGTTCGCAAGCGATGCCCGTGTTGGCCCGCTATTTCCGGCGGAACAAGACACGAAAATCCCCTTCTCAATCGCCGAAAATGCGCCGATTGCGATGGTATCGCGAAAATACGGCGCTGATCCACCTCCTAACGATAGTGACAACACGTCAACACCATCAGAGATCGCCTTATCAATTCCACCAAGAATATCAGACCCAAAACACCCTGTTTTGAAGCAAACTTTATACGCCGCTACTCTTGCACGGGGTGCCATCCCCCGTGCAGTCCCACTAGCATACCCCAACAAACTAGCATTCGCTACATGTCCTCCAGCAACAGTACTCGCAGTATGTGTACCATGCCCGTCGGTATCACGAGGAGAAACAACGTCGTCCGAGTTCATCACCCCTCCCGACGCCATCTTATACCCGTGCGAGAAGCTCCGTGCGCCGATGAGTTTGTTGTTACACGCAGAACGAGGGAACTCGGGGCCTGACTCGCACACACCCTTCCATCGTTTCGGCACGGGGGGCATGCCCGTGTCGTCGAACGACTTCGATTCAGGCCAGATCCCAGTGTCGAGAACTCCGACAATTACATCGGAAGCATCGAGGTGGTCGCCGGCGGTAAGCCCTTCTCCGGCGACATCAAGCCCGAGAAACTCCGGTGTTCTAGTAGTATGCAGAGTGTAAACAGTATCCTCGTACACTCCGAAAACGGCGTCGTTTTTCCGCAGCGCTTCGGCTTCCGAAGCCGTGAGCGTTGCAGCGTAACCAGAGTAAGCTTCTGAGTAAGAGTACAGAAGAGAAGGCGAAGAAGAAGAAGAAGATGACGAAGATTCAGAAGAAGAGAGAGTTTCAGAGGAGAGAGAATTGAGGTTAAAGGAGTACCATTCATGGTGGGTGTTAAAGGATTCAGGTTTCTGGTGATAATTCATGTGAACAATGTAAGTTTTCCGGAACAAACTTGAATTCGCCATTAAAGGGTAGCATTGAAGAAGAAAGAGGGGGAAGAGGAAGAAGCAGATCTTGAGTTTTGACGCCATTAAAATGGAGTTTTTGAAGGTTTTTTTTTTTCTGGGGAGTAACTGAAATTTGTTGTTTTAGAGGAGAGAGAAAGTGGGGAATTTAGCGAGTGTTGTCATGGGGGAAGAAAGGAGGAGGAAAGGAAGGAATTGCAGGAAATGTTGTCGGAGTTTATAGTGTTTGAATTTTTGAAATGAGGCTTAGTTTTCGGATTAAATTACAATAACTGCCACTATTTTAAGTACTCCGCATCTCATAATAATGTTCTTGTTTGTATTTTTTTCACAGTATTTAAGAAATATGAGGAGAAAGTGGATAAAGATATTAATAAAAGGGAAAAGTAAAATCATAGACAAAAGTTAGAGAGAGAAAGTGAAAAAAAATACAAAGACATTTGCAAAATTCAAGGATAATTTAAAAGTACAATAAATAAAGTTAAAAAAGTGAGGGTATAATGGTCTTTACACACTATCTAAAAATAAAAATAGGAACAACATTTGGATATCCAAAATAAGAAAACATAACTATATTATGGGATAAGAGAGTAAGTATTAGATTGGGGTCTATCTTTTTCCATTTTTTCACCCTTTCAAGACCTACTTTTTTTTCACCTTTTAAAACCTTTAGTTAACAATCCTGTTGAAGAAAGTGACTCAAATTCGTAAAACTCGAAGGTTTTCTTCACCGCCCGATCGGGCGATGAAGATAGGAAGGCAGCTTGTGTGAAGGCAAGAAGACCCTCACTGCCTGATCGGGCAGACCCTGCCCGGTCGGACCGGGCAGTGAGGAGCTTGGCTTGGCAGTCTGTGCGTATCCAGGAGACCCCCACTGCCCGATCGGGCGGTCGTTGCCCGGTCGGACCGGGCAATGAGGAGAAGGCAGTGCAGGAGCTTCGTTTGAGAAGTTGCTTCTCGCGCCCGATCGGGCAGACCCTGCCCGGTCTGACCGGACGGAGAAGGAAAGTACGGAGCGCGTATTTTTACGATGAAAAATTATCTTTTATTTATCTTTTTGCCCAAATATCTTTTATTTTAGGGATTAATATAAAAACTCCCAATACTGGTATTAGGGTAACAAGAGAGATAGAAGAGGTGTGAGGGGGGAGTCGTTCTTGAGAGACAAGAATCATCTTTGTAATCTTTGCAGTTTATAGTGGAAACTTTGATCTCGGTGCCGGTGGACGTAGCTATCACATTAATAGTGAGCCACGTAAATTCTTGGTGTGTGTTCTTATTGTTTGCATTGAATTTCTTTATTGTTTTCGTTATTGTTTTTTCGATCTTTGCTTCAGCTGTCGCACAACAAATCCGGTAAAATAATTCATGTTTAACTCACCAGACTAAAAACTGAGTCCCTTTAATAATTTTTTTGCCAATAAAAACTGAGTCCCTTCATGATAGGGGGACTATTTTTTTCTTGCACAATAAAAAAAATTGTTCTTTCTTCAATAAACTTATTTTTGTACTTTTTTTTTAAAGAAATTTTGCCATTTTCAGATTACACTCTTTCTGTTAAATATATTGCAAAATTCATGAGCATGATTGAAAATTTTTTTTTCTTTTTGAGGAAACGTTAGCCGGGTAAAATTGTGACTTTCTTACTTATTAGTATCATAGAAGGCGGTACGGAATAAAAGTTATGCCTCAAGAATTTCGTGACTTTCTTAGACGTGAAATTATACTTCGTATGTTATTGTTCTATTTTAAAAATTTATCACATTTGCAGTAAGTTATTTTAGAAATATTAAATTAAACAATTTAAGCATATATTCAAAAAAGGAAGTATTATATTAAGATAATATGATTTTGATGATTATAAAAGAGTTAAGTTTAGGGGAGCGCCTGATGGAGAAATATGTCAATCAGCAACATTCTAGCTACATCGCATCACGGTGAGAAACTTGTAGATCAATTGAGAATCAAGTTTCAAATTGTAACACCCCCAATTCACTAACTTATAATAAATAAGAATTAAAGGAAAAATAAATAACTTTTAAGTAAAATTACGGAAGTATACACCTAAATCAGAGGTATTACCGCCATACTCAACAACTTGTCAAGTGGTAAGGCTTACAAAATCTCAATAATTACAACTCAATAAACTAACTGAGCTATTTATACAACTTTACAAACTCGTTATTACATACTAATCAAAAGTTCAAAACACCCGAGCTCCTTTAGCTACGATCAGTTGATTAACTGTTTAAACAAACTTGACTGCTCACATATTGCTGCAAACACAAGTAGCACAACAAACAAACACACACGTTAGCAAAAAGTTGAGTAATCACCGCTTATCAAGATACAAAGAATAATTGAATATTTATACAATTAGATCACTTAAATGATGTAGTTGGAAAGTACATTACACATACGCACCTCAAGGGTAAATAACTTTGTACTCTGTAAATAACCTTTGTCAAACTAACCTCAAATAATAATACAACCCTTTAATCAATTAACTCATTTATCCCATAAGCGTGTCATGCTTTTTGTTCTATACCTAGCTTTGGACATGGGTGATTTGAATAACAAATCAACAAGTATAAAAACTTGAGTACTCTCAATATCCTGAAAACACCTTAAACCATGACCAACAAACGGGTCAAATCCCATGACCATAGAAAAATATAAATAAAGATTGTACCTCATTCTTAACTGATGATTATCATCTCCTTACCAACATGTCAAAGACTAAGGTTTATAACGCCGAGCCTTAAACCAAAAATAGAATAATAATTCTCAACCTTTTAATTTCATACATTGATCAAATAATCTTTCACAAACTAATTGTCAATATCTCAATAATGGCACAGGTTCCCAAATAATATAACAATTAGATTAATTGATATCTCAACTCTTAGGGAAATAATACTAGCATCCAATAAAATAATAATACTTTCAATACACGCTAGAGCAACAACATTATAAACCCTAACATAATGGTAGGGTCAATTATATATATATACAATAAAAATAATACGATACTCAAACTTAATCAAATTATATAATATCATAATAATTAATCGTACATATGTACAAGATTACAAATAATAAATCATACAATTCACAGATAATTATACGAAATATAATAAAAACAACTCCAATATAACATTATTGTGTTTAGCTGCGACAAAGTACAATAGAACAATAATATTCAAGGCAAAAATTAGATCAAGTGACGTTGCAATTTGCGCAGCTTCTCTATTGATCTCTCAATGTAAATCATCATCATTTAAACCTATAATCAAGATAATGGATAGTAGATAATGAAATAAAAACTTATAAGAAGAAATAAATTTGGGTTTTGATTAACGAATATCACGGCAATTGGAAAACGGCTGCGGCTGCTTTTCCTTTTTTTCTTTTTAATAAAATATCTTTTGAGGGTTATGAATATTTATAGGGTTTAAAATAGTTTATGTACGCTTTAATCTGTACAGTACTGTTTAAACAAAATAAGGTTTTAAAATAGTTTATGTACGCTTTAAATTGTACAGTGCTATTTAACAAAATAGGATTTTAAAACTTTCTGAGCTTTAAAATAAAAATATGAGAATAGGAAAGTTACTTATAAATAAAAATAAACTATTTTTTTTATATAAAATATAATATATAAAATATAATATATAAAATCATAAAAATATTCGGGTATTACAATCTACAAGTTTTGTCCTCGAAACTTAAAATAGAATAATTTCAGGTATTACAATCTACCCTCCTTAAAACAAGTTTCGTCTCGAAACTTAAAGTTAGAAATATAACTTACTTGTAAATTTGAGAGAAAGTAAAAACTAAACCAAACTTTCCTTTATAAAATATATAGTTTGTCAAAAAAAAAAAAATATATATATATATATATAGTACTAAAATTATTAGGGATATTACATTGCAAGCAAGTCCCAAGATACAACCATTGAAGTTGTTTTTATAATCGATTGAACCCACACACAAACTAAAAATGCATAGAATACATAGAGAAATTAATATGGGTAAACTGCTTTATTATCACACTAGACTCTGATTATGCTATTAAAATAATTTATGATTGAATGACAATGATCATAAGTTCTACAATAGACAAGTGTCAACCTATAAGAAAGTACATAATTAGTTTAATAGTTAGAGTTTTGACTTAGGTCTTGTTTGATAAAGAGTTTTTTAAAAAGCTTTTACCTTATTAAGCATTATTAGAGGTTTGACCATAATATAAAGCTAATTTGGATGTTTAAAAAATAGCTTATTAAAAGAGCTTTTTGAGCTTAAAAAAATCTCATTATAATTAGTTTATTGAATAATTAGCTTTTTGGGTATTTAATACACTGAAACAGCTAAAAATAAACAAATATTTACTAAACATTTTTACATAATAAGCTATTTACAACCAGTTAATACAATCAATTCTATCAATCAGCTAACCGCTAAATGCCAATTAGGGTCTTAATAATTGTCACTTGTACAAGATGTTTAATTACCTCTTTCATCAATTCATACAAGTACCATTGTAAAAATTCTAATAAGTCATAATATATTTTACGAGTAATAAGTTTAGTTAAGTTCAAATAAATTAAGGAAAAATTGGTATTATTAATCCCAACTTTGGGTCATTTACTTTTATAATCCCAACTATGAGTTATTCCTGAATAATCCCAACTTTGGGGGCTATTGACTTTTAGCTGACCTTACAGGTTACCAAAAAGTTACATGCTACGTGTCAACATCCCCCACCAGGAAACACTCCCACATCCTCTCCTTCCTTCCGCCGGAAAACGCCCCACCCCTTCACGCCCTCGGAAAACGCCGACAACCTTGCCCCACCCTTGATAGCCGCAAACCCATCAATTTACAACAGTAATGCATCAGACCAGCGTCAACAACCACCTTTTCTCTCACGTAAAGCAACAAACTTTCAGCAACCGCAAGTCCGCAACAACAACCGCATCAATTCCACCAAGCTCAAACCTCCACAAATTCCGTATATCAGCCACCAACCGAACCACCAAAACAAAATGCAATCAACAATTCACTACCCACTTTCATCAATTCGAATGGCCAATTCTAGAAGGGCAAGGAATTGAAGGAGTGGGGGTGCTGGGGAAGAGGCGAGGGCAGCAGAAGGGTGGGTTATTATGGGCTGGTTGTGGGTTGTATTGGTGGTGTGTAAAGGGCGGGTGCTGCTGTTGGTGGGTTGAGAGGCGTTGCTGGTGGTGGGTTGAAGGGGGCTGATTGCTCAATAGATGTCGGGAGTTATGGTGGGAAGGAAGAGAAAAGGGTTAGGTGGGTCGCCGGCGGTTGGGTCGTCTGCAGGTGATGGGGGCTGGTGCGACTATGCTGGCTGGGAAGGGGAGTGGTTTCAGTTTTTGTTTTTGTTTTTTTTTTTTATTTTGTTTTTTTTTTAAATTAGTTTTTATTTGTTGGACCATTAAACGTGTGACATGTGGCAATTTAAAAAAAACTTAAAAATATTTAACCTTTTCTTCAGGTCACCGGTCATTTAGACCTGTTAAAAGAAAACGCCCCTCAAAGTTGGGATTATTCTGAAATAAACCATAGTTGGGATTAATAAAAGTAAATGGTCTAAAGTTGGGATTAATAATAATAATTTTTTCATAAATTAATTGAATTTGAATAAGTTTAAATAAGTAAAAATCAAGTGAATGAAAAATCCGAAAATGACCAAAATAACATGCAGTAAATCCGCGCACAATTTGCAGCATTAGAAGAATGGAGGGAGTACACCAGCATCGTTGATCTGTACACCCGGGTGTACCATGAGCATGGTACACCCGGGCGAAAACGACGCTGCCCAAAAAATAAAACGCAGGCAACAAACAAATTAAAAAAACGCGGAAAGAACATACTGTTTTGTAACAAAGAACATTCAACTGAAAAAAACATGTAGATGTAAAACAAAGAACGCTAGTTTTTTAGGTATATTCATTAAATTTCGAAAAGGAATCAACCAAATCCCACATTAATTGATACAATCTTTTCAAAAAAAATTAAGATTCCAGAATAATTTTCTCTTTCCAAAATTATTTTCTTCAAAATATTTCAAGATTTTATTTTTAAAATTCAAATTCAAATTCAAATTCAAATTCAAATTCAAAGATTCATTTTCATATTTAAAATTTGAGTTCCCAATATTTTATTTGATTTTCTTAAATTTAAAAAATCTCTACCAAAATCAATCATATTCTTTCAACAATTTTTTTTTATATAATTATTATAATATTTGTTATAATAATGATGGTCATGTGTAATTCTTGTGATGTTATTTATATATATTTTTATAATGTTCTTTATCAAAAAAAATATGATGTACTTTATTTTTGTATGTAAAGTACAATTAATTATTAGCACTATTTTTCTTCCATATGTCCACTATTAATATTATGATCTTTATTAGATTTTTTGATAAAATATTTTAAATGTCCATGTTCTCTAACTGTAATTGTAATGTACATTTATTGTCACATAATATCCATTGCTTATTCTGAAAATGTCCTTTAAATTTTTGTTTGGACCATCCTTGTTAAATTTAAATTTTTTAATTTAAGTAGTGCTTATTACATAATATAATCATGTTCTTTATAAATGTTATAGATGTTCTTTGGATCTGAAAACCAATCATCAATATATGATGTCCTAAAAGAATATCTCCATCAAACATCGAGATCCTGAAAAAAAAATGTACACACTTATTTAATGTTATTAACATAAAAAATATAAATTTAATAAATAATATTGAAGATGAATAGTTTTATAATTAAAAATGACGTAAAAAATAATTTTAAAATAATATGTGCTATATCACTCAATACCCAAAAGAACATAAGAGTTAAAACAAACAAACATAAATATAGAAGAACATATTATTCAAGTAAAAAGAACATAGTTCATATTATTGAAACACAAAGAACATTATACCTTAAAGAACATAATTTGTAGTGTAAAGAACATATAGTTTAGACTCAAAGAACATATTAATCGGACTTAAAGAACATATTCCATTACAATTAACAAATTGAATGCGTGATAAAGGAACATTCATCATAATCAGAAGAACATCATCTTCAACCTTTGAAAATAATACCAAAAAAAATGAAATTTAATAATTTAAGAGAACATTATCATTAGCATCAACATCGTAATTATATTATAAAATTTTAATATGGAAAAACCTATTAAAAAAAAATTACTTTCACATTTGATTATGAAATCCTCAAATTCATCTTCATTATTAACCAAATCTTCATTCTCATACGTATTATCAACAAATCTGTAATGAAATCATGTCGAATTTCTTACACCCCGCCATGCATTAATTTTCTCTGCTAAAAATTCTCTCTCTGGAAATTCTCTTTGTATTCGAAATTGTAATTATGTCTCTTCAAAAATATCAAATCTATTTTTGAAAACTATTAATATGGAGAATAACTAACAAATCCCTTAAATTAAGAGGAATCATTTAAAAAAAAATTAAATTAAAATAAAAAAATGCCTTTATTTTCTACGGGATGTACCGTGAGCATGGTACACCCTGATGTAGTTCAAGTAAACCAGAAAGGAAGGCGAGATTATAAGGTTAGCATTTACAACAAGACAAATTGGGAGGTTAGATTAGAATTGACATAGAATTTTGGGCTTAACGCATGGAACTCCTGTCTTTATCAAAGTGTAACGGCTATATGATTATGAATGGATACATTTTTGTTGTTGTCATACACACCACCGATCAAAGAAACTGGTCATTGGTTTGCCAATTATTTTCTCCTTTTGACTATCAAAGCCTTCTCTCTCGAGGGCGTTATGGGGTGGAAAAAGGACACCGCAACCCCACATATATGCCACTTTTTCCATTTTTCTTTTTTTTTTTTTAAAAATGACTTCCTTAATTTTCGCTACAGATTATACAAATTACTAGTGTCTTTCAATATATTAATTTTGTACTTATTATTTAGGAAAAATGGAAACTAATAATCTCACTTTTAACTTTTCTGCTCAAAATAATCTTATCTTTTTGAAATCTGGAAACAAACTCACCTTTGACCCCCATCTGCTCAAAATGCCTTTTAACCTACAACTTATTTAACATGTTTATTTTTTATTTTTTATTTTTACTTATTTATTTATTTATTTATTTTTTAATTATTTTATTTATTTTTATTTTTTTCAATTTTTCATCTCCCACCTTAGCTACCCACCATAACCACCACCACCCTTCCATAAGCACCACCACATCACCACCTAACCCCACCACCTTCTTTCTCTCTCCTAAACTCAACCACCCCACTACAACTAACCACGATCCCAGCAACCCTGAAACCCGACAGCCCGACCACCCCCATCCACCCACAAAATCCCCTAACACTAACCACCCTAGCCACCTTGAAACGTCGACCACCCCAACCAACCTAAAACCCTGCCATCCGCCCTGAAACCCAATCTCACCCACGAAACCTGCCCCTTAAACACAACCAATCCAGCCCTCCAAAACTCCAAAAACCGAGGTCGAAAACCACCAAAAACCCCACCCCGAAATACCGCCTAACCCCTAGACCTAAACCCACCTGAATCGGAGACTTCACTCAAGTCCGACCACTCCATTCAACCCGAAACCCCTTACCCATACCAGGCGACCACCCTCAGCTACGGAGAAACCGGTAGGGATTCCGACAAAGGAGAGAATCAAGGAAGTGGAAATTGCGAAAAGGTGAAGGAGTTAGCTTCGGCAAGGGGAGGTGGGTTGGTTCGGTAGGGGGTGGGTCGGTCCGGCAAGGAAAGGGATCGGGAAGTGGGAGGGGGTTTTTAAATTTTTTATTTTAATCGTCATCTTTTTTAAAAAAAAAAATATTTTTAAAAAATGAAAGCCAATAAGAAGGTGACACGTATCAAGTCACCTACTTAAACAGGTTACTAATTTGACAAATCGGTAAAAGGCTCATTTTGAGCATATGAGGGTCAAAGGTGGGATTGTTTCCGGGTTCGAAAAGGTCGGATTGTTTTGAGCAGAAAAGCCAAAGGTGGGATTGTTAGTTTCCATTTTTCCTATTATTTATATCTAACATTACCTTTTAATTTACAGAGTATTTTCTTTTAAAAGGAAAGGTACACGGTGTTAATGATCTCCTATAACAGAAAAAGACTAAATGTGGCTAAAAATTACCCTATTTCAGAGAGAGAATTTGAAGTCTAAGTACAACAAAAAAAAGGAAAGAAAATAAACTAATATATGAGGAAAGACCAAAGGGGGCTATAGGTTTCTTATCTCAAGAAGAGAACCTGAAGCCAAATTACAAAAAAAAAAAAAAAAAAAAAAAAAAAAAAAAAAAAAAAGTTAAACTAATATATGAGGGTCCATTTTATTAATCTAATCTTTACTTATTCGAACTTATTTGAGTCTCTAAATTTATTATTGTGATAGATATTATTGAAACTTATTTTAGTTGAACATCAAAATCATGTAGCCTTTCTCTACTTACCTTAACTTATCTTGTCAGAACTTAATATAAACTTATTAACTAATATTAACGACTTATTTTTTCTGAAATAAGCTTAAATAAAGTAAACAAAACAAAACTTAAGAAATGATGATTATGATATAATCCTCCTAAACTCGTCTTAAATTTGTGTTGTGTTTTGGATTATAATTTTTCCTCATAATTTTTACACATAAAATAATACTCCTCTTGTCCTTTTATTAAGGACCTGTATTTCTTTTTTGACAAATCAAAATTAAGGATCTATTTCTATTTTAAGGTTGTACTATTTGAGAATATTCTCCACTTTTTGATGAGTTGTCATCACTCTCTCTCTAACTAATGCTTGATCTGTGCACCCGGGTGCATCGGGTTAAACCAAAAAAAGGCACTACTAGAAATAGGTTGTTTTCCGACGGAATCGTTCCGACGGACCTAAATTCCGTCGGAAAATTCGAACTTTCCGACGGAATTAGGGTCTGTCAGAAAATTACGAAAAATGTAAGTTAACTTTCCTACGGAATTTAAATCCGTCGGAATTTTCCTACGGAATATTCCGACGGATTATTTTTCCGTCGGAATGTTCTTATATATAAAAAAAAAAAACCAACCCTCAATTCCTTCGTTTCTCTTTCTCCTCTCCTATCCTCTTTCTCTCTCTTCTCCTTCTCTGACCTCCCTCCTTCTCCTTTCGTTTCTCTCTCCTCCTTCTCTCAGATCTCCTTCTCCTTTCGTTTCTTTTTCCTCCTTCTCCTTCACCTTCGTTTCTCTCTCCTCCTTCCCTTTCCCCTTCGTTTCTCTTACCGCCGCTGCGCAACAAAGCCACGCACCACCGCCGCTGCGCAACAAAGCCACGAACCACTGCCGCTACGCAACCAACACACCACCACCGCCTTCTAAAGGTTTTTCAAAGAACAAAATAAGGTTTTTCATGTCAAATTCGACCATGAAAACCCTAGATCTAGAGTTTTTATGGTCAAATTTGACCTTTAAAACCCAAATTCAAGCCAAATTAGGGGTTTTGATGGAATTCAAGGTAAGTTGTCTATTCTCTTTCTCTTATTTTTTTCGGGTTTTGCTTGAAACATCAAAGAATTTCTTGGTTTTGTGATGGAATTTCTGGGTTTTGTAATTTGAATTTACTTGGATTTTTTTTTTTTCCGTTTTTTTCGTTTTGTGATGGAATTTCTGGGTTTTTTCGTTTTTTTTTTAAATTTTTTTGACTTGCTTCGTTTTTTTTTGGGTGGTTTAGGTGGTGGTTTGGGAGGGTGTGGAATGGCGAGGGGGTGGTACTGGTTTGTAGATCTGGCGAGGTGGGTGGTGGTTTGGGTGGTGGTATTTGGGTGGTTGGGAGGGAATACGAGTTAGGGTGGTGGGTGGGTTTTTCGGTTGGACGTGGTGGTGGTGGATGGTGTGGGAAAAGGAGTTTGACGTGGTGGTGGTGGCTGGTGTGGGAAAATGGGTTGGACGTGGTGGGTGGTGTGGGCTGGTGGCAAGGGTGGATGTGGGTAGGGTAAGGGTTACGGGGTGGTGGAGCTTTTTTTTTTATTTACTTTTCCGACGGAAATTTCCGTCGGAACATTGCGACGAAATTTCAATTAAAGTCAACAAAACCGACGACAGAATTAAATTCGTTGGAAATTTCGTCGGAATGGACTTTTCCGACGGAAATTCCCTCGGAATATAGCCAAGTTCCTACAAAATGTAATGCGATGGTGCCTTCCGACGGAATTCCGTCGGAAATCGTCATTTCCGACGGAATTTCAGGGTTTTTCGACGGATTTTTTCCATCGTTGATTAGGCGTTTTCTAGTAGTGAGGCGAAAAGAATATTTATGCGTTTGAAAAAGAGCATACAAGTGTTTGACAAAGAACATGCATCACCAAAGAACATAAGGACATTACAAAAAGAACGTGAAATTTTTTTATTAAAATTTCATGAAAAATTACACATTAACGAAAAAAATCTTTACCAAAGATATCATTTCCCCAAAAATAGTTTTCTTTCTCTCCAAAAATTTAACTTTCCATAATAATTTTAGTTACTATCTCTAAATTATTTTCAACCAAAAATAATTCAAGGTTTTATTTTCAAATTAAATTTCAAAATTCAAAATAACATATGTTAAAAGAACATAAGTTATAATGTAAAAAATATATAGTTCATAGCTTCATACACAAAGAACACACTGATCAAACTCAAGGAACATACGATAATAAAAATAATATAGATATGATATATGATAATAAAATAAAAAATAGAATTTATGCGTCACTCATTACTTCAATGAACATATGAGCCAAATTCAAAGAACATACTTTGTATTATTGAAATCCAAAAAACATGTTTAATCAACATTTGTTAAAGAACATAAGTATAAAAGAACATATTATCAAACATATGTAGGTATGTTTTTTGTCAAACACGATATGTTCTTTATCAAACAAAAGTATGTTCTTTTCGCCTTTTTTTTTTTAATCAAGTGCACCATGCGCGTGATGCACCCGGATGTACTATCTTATTTTCACTCTCTAACCCCACACACACTTATGTACTTCCACCAACTTTCTTAATTTCCGTGAAAAAACCCAAATAGGCTCTTAATAAAAAGACGGAGGGAGTATTCTGTAAATTACAATGATTGAGAAATTCAATATAACTTAGAATTACAATATTTCTAACTCCGTAATAAATTAAATAAGCTTTGATAAGGGTACTTTATTTTTTAATCAAATAAACTTTGATAAGGGTACTTTATTTTTAATCAAACAAGCTTTCAAAAAAAAAAAAAGATAAGGGTACTTTCTTTATTTTATCAAATAAGTTTTGATAAGGGTTTTTAATTTTGTAACAAACAAGTTTTAAATGGTACTTATCTCTCCTTAATTTTTATTATTATGACATTATTTTGGAGCTTGTTTATTAAACTAATTTAAATCATTCTCATAGTGGCTAGAACTCTTTTTGGAGGCATAAAAAGTATTTGAAAACTACAAATATATTTACAAAAAAATAATAAAGTCAATCACACCTTATTATCTAAAAATTACTTTTAAAAAGGTAATAAAATTACTTTTTTAAAACCATTTAAAAAAAAATTACTTTTAAAAATTTGCTAATATTGACAAGCATGATACTCCCTCTGTTTTATATACTTGCTCTATTTTTAGAAGAAATTGGACAAAGTAATAAAATATGGAGGTAGTAGGGTAGGTGGAAAATAAAAAATTGTAAAAAGCAAAAGTAATTGAGAGAATTGGAAGGAATATAAAATTAATAAAATATGATTTATGTTAAGTCTACTAATTGAGATAAATTAATTAAATATTGTAAAAGTTTTTCAAATAAGAAAGTGAAGCAAGTATTTAAAAACGATCGGAAATGAAAAGTGGAGCAAATATTTAAAAACGAAGAGAGTAACATTTATATGTTGGGTTAACAAAAATAAAAAAATTATACATTTGAGTGTTGTCTAAAGTGGTGTTAACAATTTTCAATACTAAATTACTATTGGTGTTAACCGTGTTAGCAATTTTCATTAGTAAACGACTAACACCATTAGCGTTTAGTAATTGAAATCTCGGTCGTTACTGTCCAGTGTCCACTACGTAGATAAGATCTTGGGTGTTCTGGAAGTAGTACCTCCATAAAGGCCTGATCTGCTGTCGTGTTGCAAAAATAAATAAACTACTAACACGTCGATGATTTTCTTAACATAATACATGAGTTATTTTATCTAATTTGTTTTTTTTTTTTTTTTTTTGAACGGAGCTAATTACTTTTAATTTGAGCTAATATAAACTCACTAAAACAGCTTATAGGAAGCATCAATTAGGCGAAAGCCACAAAACAAAAACATAATAGGTTACACAAAGGTGGTGTACGGTGTCCATATCAAGAAGTCGTGGTTGCGATCAACAACAATGTTGTAACATACAAATACCACGTAAATTTAAAAAAAAAAAAAAAAAAAAAAATCACGGGAGTTGGACTAGCCGTACCTTATCTTGGCCACCAACATCCCAAACAGTGAGCCCTACATTTTTGTACTCCACGGTTTCTACATAACAACCTCAATATATACAGAATTACAAACATAAAACTAAGATATGTTATTCAAATATGTTAGGCTTTTCAATCTCTAGAATCATAAACCATAAAACCAAGCTAATTCAATCATCAAATTTGAATTTGTCACTTATATCAATCCTAAACTTTTAAATTAGAATTTGTGGCTTATATGAATCCTAAACTTGAACTTGTCACTTAATTATATCAATTTATAACATAAAATAATGCTTAATTGAGTTTCAAATTAAACCGACTCTCCTACAGAACCATATTTAAGATGTTACGTGTACAAACTCTCTTCCTACACGAGTGAATGTACACGCAAGTGACACAAAAACACCAAGATTGATTAAAAAAAAAAAAAAAAAATTTGGATGATTACTTACCAATACTGGGGATAGTGGTGACAACTTCACCAAGTTTGAGTTTGTAAAGGATGGTGGTTGGTTTTACCAGCAGAATCAAGACCCACCATTAAAATTCTCATTTCTTTCTTTGCCATGAATTCTAGCTGCTGCTCGACTTTCCTTTACAAATTAATTTTTTTGCTGCTAATTCTTGCATGTAATCCTTATCACATTATCACAACAAACATTTTAACTCACACAACCTTGTAATCTTCCTGATTCTTCTCTTCTTCCCTTCCAATTGTATGGTTGCTTAAATTTCATATTTTCTGTTTTTCATAATTAGTAACTATTTGTCGATTCCTACATCTCAAGTTTTTTTCCATAATTACAACAGAAATTACCGAATGTAGATTATTGGTTGAACTATAAGAGAGAGGGAGAAAAATGTGGTCTTTTCGTGAGAGAGAAATTATGAAAGATGCAATATATTGATTTCTAATGGGACAAACGGTCCATTCTTATTTTTCTGGGGGTATTATCATCCAATAAAACTTTCATTAAATGGGTATAAACAGCTTCCCGAGAAACTGAAAGTAGAAGCTTGGCTTTGGAGCTTGTGTTTCTAAGCTCTTTAAGAGCTGTTTTGGGCTTCTAGAGAAACAGAAATTAGCTATCCTTGAACCCCTGTTTGGCCCAATTTTAGATTTTTTGGCTGAGAATCACTTGTAGAAGCTAGGCCAAACATTAAGCAAACATTAGCCGGGCCTGGGAGGGGGAGAAGGAGAGGGTGGCCGGCTGGTGGTGGTGAGGGTTTTTTTTTTTGTAAAAAAAAAATTTATAAATTAACTTAATTATTAAATAGTTAAGTGAGAGTTATGAGTAATTAGAAGAATTAATGGAAAATTAGAGGTTAATTGAGTTATTAGAAATCTCAGGTTGTTCTCAACAAAAAAAAATTTACAATCTGGTTTCTAAATGCCAAAAAATATTTATACTTTTTTCCAACAAAAAAAAGTTGTTATAAATGGTTTTTTTGACAAAATTTCCTTTAAATTATATTATATAGTTTTGATAATTACAGAGTAATAAGAATTAATAAAATACAGAGTATATATTTTGGGTAACTTTTAAACTTTTTTCACGTACTACTACTGTAGTATTGTAGATGATAAAATGATGATTTTGTAATTGTAATTATTTAAGGTATTTTAGGATAGATTAAGTGAAATGGTCAAATTAATATATACGATTAAATTTTAATAAAAATTAATAAATAAAATTAAATTATGAAACTTTATATTAATACATTTTTGATAATTTAATAATTAATATAATAATATTGTTAAAAATTAACGTTGTTAGAAGCTGTAGTCAAAATATATATGTACTTCAAGTCTTCAAGTCAAATTGTTTCCATTATTTTGAAACGGAAGTAGTAGCTTATATCATTTGAGGTATTATGTTAAGGCTTTTTCAGTGGTAATTTATCATTAATCTTCCGGTCTCATTGTGAGAGGTCCTGTGGAAGACTAATTATAATCTTCCATTAGTAAAACCTTTTGTGATCGTATATCTTGGGAAAAGCTAAGTTCAAATAAAAGTATATATATGTATGTGTTATTTAATGATTTAGTATAATAGATTTATTTATTTGATTAAGAGTTAATTTTAATTAATTTGAACCACATTTAAAAATGTTAGCTTTGCCATTACTGTAGATTGGCTTAAGTGGTGCACTAGAGACATTATGTGGCCAAGTATTTGGTGCAAAATTGTACAAAATGCTAGGGATTTATCTTCAAGCATCATTTATGATCTCGATCATTTTCTCCATAATCATATCCACAATATGGTGGTTCACCGAACCTATATTGAATATACTACTCCATCAAAATTCGAACATTTCTAAAGAAGCAGCAGTTTACATGAGATTTCTAATACCAGGCATATTCGCATTTGGTCTTTTACAAAACATCTTGAGGTTCCTCCAAGCGCAATCTGTGGTTTTACCCTTGGTTACATTCTCACTCGTTCCGTTACTCTTACATTGTGTCCTTAACTATATCATGGTTCATTTCACAACCCTTGGATATACGGGAGCAGCATTGGCAACCTCCTTGACGTTTTGGTTATCGCTTATAACTTTGGTCATATACGTGAGCTTTGCTAAAAAATTTGAGCATTCTTGGAGAGGGTTGTCGAAGGAATCATTTCACCATGTCTTCGTCTACTTGAAATTGGCATTACCTTCGGCTGCTATGGTTTGGTGAGTACATTATTGCTCTAATAATCCTGTGTTACAACTTACGTACAATTAGATTTCTAGATGTTTTTATATATTTTGGACACTAATTTTAGTTCTCAGTTTGGAGTATTTGGCATTTGAAACAAATTGATTCTGTTCTCTGTCTTTTCTTTCTAATGAAAGAATCGTTGCTATATATGAATGAATCTTTATAGTATGATAGTTGAGATGATAGTTATGCTCATCTCATCTAAACAGTGTCAATACGGAAACAATAGCTTACATGGTTACTTACGGGCTGAATGCTGCAGCAAGGTATGAATGCAAAAAATATAAATTTTTCTCAAATTTGGACTAATAATATTTTTTTTTTTAAATTATAATTCTTAACAATTACCATGATAGTACGAGAGTTTCTAACGAGCTTGGAGGCGGGAAAGCAAATCAAGCGAAGCATGCAATGGGCGTGACACTGAAGTTGTCGATTCTCCTAGCCGCTTTTGTGGTTCTTGTTCTAGGCTTGGGACATGATATTTGGGCAGGCTTCTTTATTGGCAATGCCAGTATAATCAAAGCATTTGCCTCCTTGACTCCTCTGCTTTGTATTTCAATTTTTTTGGACTCGATTCAAGGCATACTATCAGGTCGATCTTTAGATTCAGTACACATTTTCTTCCTCTTTGATTTATCTCCTTCATTTATTTCATCCATATTCTATGCTGTTTTTGTGCACAAACAGGGGTATGCAGGGGATGTGGTTGGCAGCATTTAGTCATGTACATAAACTTGGGGACATTCTACCTCATTGGTATGCCCGTTGCATACTTAGTTGCCTTCAAGTTGCAGATGTATGTCAAGGTAATTACCATTTATTTTTACATTTTCCCATTGCAACTGCTTTTGTTTATTTATTCACTCATTTTTTTTTTAAGTGAAACGTTTCTCTTTTACACGCATGTCAATACAAAACTTTAACCAATAATATTTTTAATTATCAATAAATTAAATTTAGGGAACGGTGACCCCCAACTTTTGCTACGCACCAACGGTAACCCCCCTTTTTTTGGATTATACAAAATAAACTTAGTTAAAATTTTCATCTCACTCATAATCTTATTTCATTAAATATTAACTATAGTTAGATTTATCTTTAAAAAAAAAAAAAAAAAAAAACTAAAAAAATTAACCCAACCACCTGCCAGCCACCCCCACCATAACCCAGCCGTAGCCACCGACGAGTCCTTCCCCCCGAAGCGCCGCACAGACCTCCTTCCCCTCCCCCGGTGCCGGTGCTGCCCCGACCACCCTCCCCTTTCCCCTTAAAATCCTCTGCATCAGTCTCATCTTCTTCCTCCTCCTCCTCCCTCCTCAATTCAATACACGCTTTGATTAATTCAATTGGAATACGGCGAAAAGTGTAAGGTAAAACACAACCATTTATTACAAGATGTGTTAATTTGGGCGCATCAATAGAAACCTGAATAATACCGGGAATCAAAGCTAGCGCCAATGACTTCAAATCGAGGAAATGCAAATTCAGAGGAGAAATTACATTAGGCGGTAGTTTAGCTGTCGTCTCAAATACCAGAGTTAAATCTTGTAAATTAAAAATGGGGCAAATGTACACAAAGACCATACCTAATCAGGCACATTTGAAAGGTTAATCAGAGAAAGCTTCTTCAAATTTGGAAGCTGAAACTGAATACATTTATAATCAAATGCAAATTTACCAGAGATTGACAACTAAGAAAGCATTCAGGCGTTCGAAAGTGCCCTTCCTCTACAAGTGTGTCAATGAAAATGAATTGTTCAACATTTCGGCGGCAAATCTGATGAAAGCATGATTGTACAGCATCAGCATCAGGGTCATCATGTAATTTTGAAGGGGAGGGGCTGGTGGCTGTTGTGGTAATTGGGGGCTGGTGGCTGTTGAGTTGCGATGCTTTTAGAGGGGAAGGGGAGGGGTTACGAGAGGTTTTAAGGGGAAAGGGGAGGGTGGTCGGGGCAGCACCGGCACCGGGGGAGGGGAAGGGGGTTTGAGCGGCTCTCCGGGTAAGGGGGAAGGACTCGTCGGTGGCTACGACTGGGTTATGGTGGGTGGGTTTTTTGGTGGGGGTGGCTGGGCAGGTGGGGGTGGGGGTGGCTAGACAGGTGGTTGGGTTAATTTTTTTAGTTTTTATTTTATTTTATTTTTTTTAAAATATAAATCTAACTATAGTTAGTATATTTAATGAAATAAGGTTATGAGTAAGATGAAAATTTTAATTAAGGTCATTTTGTATAATCCAAAAAAGGGGGTTATTGTTGGTGCGTAACAAAAGTTGGGAGTTACCGTTGAGAATTTCTCTTAAATTTATTATAATTGAATATTAATGAACTATTCCTAAGACGATTTCAACAAATACCTACAAAATACTATATTATATGTTAAATCACAAACACTAGTCAAATTAGATTAATGATATAATGTAAAAAGTCAAAACGTTTCACTTAAAAATACGGAAGGAGTACACATTAGAGGTAGAATGAAGATTAATGATTCGCCTCCATATCCTCTTTGTCACAAATCTGTGGTTTAGGGCCTTTGGATTGGTTTAATCTGCGGCCTCGTCTTGCAATCTAGTTTGCTTTTCCTGATTACTCGACTCCGGAAATGGATGGACATCATTTGAGCTCTCAACTAGCGGCAATGAGAATTCAGTTCCATAAAATGCCTGTGGGATACGCAATTATGTACTTCGTATGATTATAGCATGAACTTAATGTAAAGTACAATTATGAATTGTCCTCATCAAAAATATCCATCAGGCATTAGGTCTAAACTCTATGTATTTGCTGAAATGAATCAATGACATGCACCAAATTCAGGAATCACCGTCTTCTGTGTTACCAATCTTTTTGTATGAACACGGTTATGATAGTAAAATTTTACCACTCTTAGAGTGGGAAATTTGTTTATTCAAGAAGCAATCATAATGTTATTCTAGTATTGAATGGTTCTTTCTTTGCTGATTAAAAAGGACATGACATCTCAAACTCTGTTAAACGGGTCAAGTCACACCCGTTAAGAATGTCCACATTATATGACCAAGGAGGTTCCAACTCGATCAAAATCATATGACAAAGAGGGGAGTAGCCCCTTAGCCTCATAAAGTAGACACGTATTTTTTTTTTTTTTTTCCAATGTGATGGGATACTCATCCCAATACTCACTCTTACTACTTCTTGTAAATTTTCCACTCTAAGAGTGGTAAAATTTTACTATCATAACCGTGTTCATACAAAAAGATTGGACAACACTTTTACTCACATGTGGGGTTGCTTATGGGCTCAACGGACTCCCTTTTAAAGGAAGTCAGAGAAGTCACCCGTTAGTCTTTTGACCTTCCTCTTGAAGAAAAACTCAAGATCAAGTTGTCTGCTGGGATATAGGTTATTTTCCTACTATGTATACTTATTCTTAGGAGCTTTGAAGATGAGCTTCACTCAATTTACTAGTTATTGAGTACTTTTGTATCTTAAAATGCAGATCTGCGCACAGAGGTAGTCGAGATCTAGCCAAAGTGTCAAGGTATGACAAAATATTGCCATTGACTTGAGTGAACCACCAACTCCTCCTTTAAAAAAATCTTGTGAAAACTGTCAAGTAAACCAAACACATCAAAATCAGAAATTTTGACGTTGTGGAAAAAATATTCTTGGATACGAAGGATTCGTAAAAAGAAAAAAGACAAAGTCCGTTAGAAGGCTGAAAAGTTACCAAAAGCAGAGGAAGAATTGGAGAAGAAACAGTCATCCTTAATTCATGGAATCACCAGTTCAACTCACTGTAATAGTCGTATATATACAGTTTGGACAACGGAGAGTCCTCCTTGTCAGTTCGCTATCAGGGGCAGAGGAATGTCTGCGTCAAAACGATGTTATATTTGCCAATCGTCCCAGTCTTTTGACTGGTGATATATCAGGGGCAGAGGAATTCGTTCAGAGGAGGTGAAGTCCCTGATGCCTCGGATCAGTACAGAATCCGAGAGAGATAATCAAGTGGTGGATATTGGGGAGGCTCTGTTTGAGATGACGCAGAAAATGATGATGAGAATTTTGGCAAAGGAAGGGTATATAGGAGAAGGGAAAAGATTTAGGGTGGTAGTGGAGGAGATAACGAGAATTGAAGGAAGTCTCACCGTCGTTGACGTGTTTCCATTTTTGAGGCTTTTCGGGATGAAGAAGAGATATCAGGAGAAATTCAGGGGTTTGGCTCAAGAGAAGGAAAAGTTTTTGAATGATTTGATGAAGAAAACAGAGCCTGAGTTTTAAACATGGAATCTGAGGAGTTCAGGCCCGAGAGGTTTGAAGGGGTGGAAAAGGATGAAGAGAAAATGAAGTATAAATTTATGCCTTTTGGGTTAGGAAGGAGAGCTTGCCCTGGAGAGGGCATCGCCATGCGAATGGTTGGACTACGTTGGGATTGCTACTGCAGTGTTTTGAGTGGGAAAGACCAAGTCCTGAATTGGTTGACATGAATGTCAAGAATGGGCTCAGTATGCCCAAAGCCAATCCACTTCAGGCCAAGTGCCAACCTGATAAAACTATCTTTACCCTAACACTCCCAAGAGCATTACATTTTCAGAAACAAAAAACAATGGTGAAAAGGCGTACCCAAGCATATCAAGATGCCACTAAACAAGCTCCTGACTCTCTCAGCTAGGCATAATCATGTAGTAGAGGAAATTGTACCCCAAGCTCACAGCGAGCCTGTTGAAGAGGTGTTTAGCCCTCAGGTGGTTACTCATCGGGATTTGGAGCAGCTGGCGGCTCAAATCAACAAGAACCTTGAGGAGAGCCTAAGGGCACTTGTCAGGGCAGGGGGCAAGGCAGGTTGGGAGACGCTCCATAGCCTAACCCTCAACCTCACTTGTCCCAGCCCCATCAAGCATCATCTCAGGCTCAGCGTCAAGATCTCGACGAACGCGTACACACCAGTCAATCTCCTATAGCCCGGCGGGAGTCAGGTCAGCCGAGCCGACTAAGGAATGCTAGAGAGATAATCAATGACCAAAGGTTGAGGGAAGGAAATTTGGATGCCCGTCAAATAATCAACTCTAGGCGGGAAAACTCTAAGGAAAAAGATTCCCCCCCCCCCCTCGAGAGATCGAACAAGAGTTCACTTTCAGCGTGACTCAACCAGGCACCATGATAGCCTAGCTCACTCAGCCACTTCAAGGCAGAGAAGAAGGACCTCCCCCCAGCCTACCCGCTTTACAAGTCAAAGCCCTTAGCGTTCTCCCTCTCCCAGGCCGAGGAGACTTGGAATTGTGAAAAACATTACCCCCTTCAGCAAGGAAATAATGGACACACCTATCCCCCCCAAGGTCAAACTCCCTACATTGGAGCCATATGACAGAAAGACAGACCCAACAGACCATTTGAACGTTTATAAAGCGCAAATGGGTGTCCAAACAGGGTGCGAAGCATCTTGGTGCAGATTCTTCCTACTACCCTCAAGGGCATTGCTCAAACTTGGTTTAGCAACCTCCCCCCGGGGAGCATCAAAACTTTCGAGGAGTTGTCTTGCCAATTCAAAAAGCACTTCATCGCTGGTAGTAGGAAAACAAAGACTAGCGTTCATTTGATGACCGTGAAGCAGGGGGAGAACGAAAGTCTGAAGGATTATATCAAAAGATTTAATACTGAATCTCAACTCATAAAATATATGGATGTTATACGTTTTGAATTAGTTTAGAATTCTATTTTCAATCAAATTTGGATAGAATTTTATGATAAAATTATTAGTTTAGAGTTTTAATTTTGATAAAATACCAATATTTCATGGGTACAAATTGAATTATAATTTTATTTTAAAAAACTAGATTATAACTCTCAATAATAATCATATAATTTTATTTTTAATATCATAATATTATTTGGAGCGAAGGAAGTAGTTCAAAACATATAACATCCATATATTTTATTAGTGTATGTAGACCTGCCAATCGGTTCGGGTAATGAGTCATTTTGGATCAGTTCATTTCAGATGACGAGTCAAATAATGTTCAACCCTATCCCAAAGTTTTGGGTTCGGGTCAACCCAACAGGTTTAGAACGATTTTTTATTTAATTTATTTTTGGCTAATTTTTAGAAAATTCTAATATTTCATGCTTATTTTGCTTCTAATATTTCATGTTTATTTTGCTATTTTTTATGTATTTAATCGATCATTTTCACCAATATTATTCGTCATTGCATGACTACTACATAGTTTAAATCGTCACAAAAGCACATCAATTCCTAACTAATTTTGCATCAATATATATTTTAAAATTGACAGATTAAAAAATTCTTAGAATTCAATAAACAGCCCGGGCATCACACGGGCACAAAATAGTGTCTTAGCAATTTTAGCATCTTGACTTTAGAAGATAAATACGAATATGACTAAAAAGTCAGCAATGATTCTTTGAAATCTAGTTGCACTCGTGATTAATTGAAAATATGGGATTTAAATAGATATGATTAACATTAAATTTCTAATTTATCAGCAATAGAGTTATTTAAGAAATGACACATCACACTCTTTCTTGCTAATTTGTCTATTATTACATACTTTGTATGATTATATTTACTAGAACTAACCTCGTGTGATGCTCATTTTATATATATATAGGGGAGGGGTTCGGTGAAAATAGGTCCATATGTGAGAAAACATACTTATATGAGAACTAATCTAAAATTTAGAACATATGAGTAAAAATTTAGAACATATGATTAGAAATTCAGATCACATGATTTTAACTTCAGACCACATGGTTTAAAATTTAGAACAGGCGAGTAATAATTTTAAACATCTACGTGAGTTTTAGAACATTTGATTTTGGATTTAGAACGTGTGATTAAAAATTTAGAAAACTTGATTTATAACTTAGAAAATTTGAATAAAATTTAGAAAATCTAATTTAAGATTTAGAACATGTGAATCAAATTTAAGAACACTAGATATTAAATTTAGAACATGTGAATAAAAATTAAAAATACAAGATTTTAAATTTAGAAGATATGAGTAATATTTAGGACATGTGAGTAAAAGTTTGGAATATACAAGTAAAAATTTAGAACATATGATTAGAAATCTTAGAACACAATTTAAAATTTAAAACATATAAGTTAAAATTTAGAACATGTGAGTAATTATTTAAAACATTTGATTTAAGTCATTTTAGATTTAGAACACATGATTTAAAATTAGAACATTTGATGTTAAATTTAGAACATACGAGTACAAATTAGAACATAAGAGTGTTCTCACATATGAAAGATTTCTCACATAAAGAGGAATTCTAAATTTTAAATCATGTGTTCTAAATCTAAAATGACTTAAATCAAATGTGTTATATATATATATATATATATATATATATATATATATATATATATATATATATATATATATATATATATATATATATATATATATATATATATATATATATATATATATATATATATATATATATATATATATATATATGTGTGTGTGTGTGTGTTATCTTGATCTCTATCAAATATTTTTACTATCTCCATTTCATACTATTTGTAATTTTGGGATATTATTTATGTGATTGGTGTTAGGCTTGATCTTCCACTTTAGTTAACTTTGTGTGGTATATTCCATTCATT